GATTATGGCATTCAACCCGATTGTGTTGATTTCAAGGGATTGAAAAGTGGTTAACATCAAACTCCTCGCACGCTAAGTAGGAAACAATGCTTGAAATGCAGCAATGTTGACAGCAAATGCACTCTTAGTGTGGCATGCCACACACGTTGCACAAAATCGTTGTTACACTATTGTGCGTAATAATTTAGGGCATTATGAAGGATTAGTGGCAGAAAAATTGTCATGACAAATATGATTTTTTATTAGCAACTGCTAATACGATATACGCGGATTTCAATTATCGTCAAAAATTACACGCCTGGCACAGTGTAAATATTTAAAATGCACAAAAATTGTCTGGTCTGCTTAATCAATCAACAGTGTGCCAAAATCGGTTTATACTACGTTTTCTGCGGAATCACACACATATCAAACCAAATCAAGCGACAAAAGAAATTCAACGCATGCATCCCTTCCGCACCTCTGATGGTATACGGTTGATTAGTGTGTCTCTTCCTTACCTCCATCGAATGCACCAACCCTCCACTCCTTCGTTGCTTCGCTGCTTCGTGCAAATGTGCAAATTTTGTAAATAAATATGTGCAAAGCAATCAACAATCGAGCGTTTCTCTGTAATCTACTTGCTTTTGTTATTATTACTCTTCGACCACATGTCGCTGTCAGCGGTGCAAAAGTATCCTTTAATTGCAATTCAATTATTCTTCGTGTTGCACATGTCGCCGTGTGCCAAAATGGAAATGGAAATGCTTGCTGGCATTCGTCGACTCATCAGCACAAAGCGCAAACAAATTGAAGGAAGTCCATACACACACTCACACACACGCGCTTTATATGTATGTGTGCACGTGTATGTTTGTGCTTGAATTCATTATCTTGTGATGTTCTGGCATTTCAAACCGCCACCAAGCCACCAAGCCGAGATTCCGTTGTTCCGGTTTGTCCTGTGCGGCGGGGGCATGTGCACCGGGGCAGATGTTTTATATTAACCGCACGCGTGTTGTCGGCGTTTCAATATGCGATGTGTGCATTGTGTGTGTGCCCTCCATTTGGCGTACTTATAACCTCATGTATGTTTTTGTTGTTGGTATTTTGTTTTACTTTTATTATGCATTGCTTTATTTGATTGCACTGAATGTATTGAATATCCTGATCCTGCGACTAAGGTTAAAGACGGCCGAAGTGGTGCTGATTTCAAAGTGGTTGCTGATGAAGGAAAAGAGTTTGATCTTCCGAGTGGAACTTTGATTCCTAGTTTAACGTATTATAGACGTTTCGTTGAATCCAAATAGATTTCGATCTAAATTTAAATTGACTACAAATTGATGGCCGGTTTTGGGGTACATTTCTCTTTTATTCAAACTTTAATTACGATCTGCTGAGGAAGTGTCCTTTTTCTTCGTTACCAGTTACAATATAAAAAATTTGGAGTTATTTTAGCTACCTCTAGATGAATGAATCGATCCATCTAATTTCTAAAGAGTGAGGGTTATCCAGGTGTCAGCAAGCCTCCAAATAGTTTAAGGAATCCTGCTCAAGTAATTCGGATTTTACAGCCCTTGGCTAAATAAATTGCTATATCACTGCACACTTTTTCAAATAAAACGAGAAAATACGTTAACTTCATTGACACCGACGCTATAATACCCTTCGCAAATACAAAAGATTCTATACAAGAACTTGACTTATATCGGTTAGTTTATATTGCAGCAATATGCTATAGTGATCCAATGTGAACAATATGTTCGGAGATTGTAGCGATGCGACAATCTATACCACATTTCGTGAAGATAACTTGACAAATTGAAAAGTTTTAGGGTCACATATGGTAGAAGTAAGATGATCTTATCCCTTTGCCAATTTAATGAAGTTAGAATGGTTTGTATATGCATTGTATTAAGACTCAGACCTTCCTGATAAATATCCACGCAATTATTGTATGACCCACCAGATACGATGTCTAAGAGCGACTTTAATGTTTAATATATAAAATAAAAATTTTATAAAAAATTTCCGAAATATACTCGATTATTTTATAAGAATATTAAATAATTAAAGAAAGTATGTGCAGCTCTCGGTGTATGTGTGTATAAGAATATTTACAGTCATCACATTATACGGTTCCGCATTTCAATTTGCTTGCAACACCCCCTCATGCTAAACAGCAATATGTTCCTCGATGCATATGCTGCATTTGCTCGAGGATTACTGAGGAAACTGCAGTGTATCACTTACTAAAAGCAACAACAAAACAGCAGATGATGCAAACAATCAAATTGGTAATTGTGCAACAGCACGTGCCTCAGCGCTTTCCTGGCTCAGTTCCGCTATCACTTTCTCATCCGCATAATCGGCCACTTGTATACTTCGTTTAACCTTGCCCAGTGCGCGTAAACGGGATCGTAACAGCTTACAAACATGAAAACATAGCTCTTTGTCAACTCGAGTGCCGAGCTCGAGAACGCATTTATGGCGTTGATAAGGATGAAGCGTCTTAAGCATGCATTCCAAGACAATGCAGCACACAGCACACAACAAACAGGCTATGAGTACCCACACACATACACAACACATGCGAGTGTGCATCCAAGCGAAGCTTAGAGCAAGTGTGCATAAGTGGTTGTGGCTCAGTGCAAGCGATGTGGCAGAGCTCACAGCTGCCGGTTGCATACCACCGCGTTACCGAGTATGTGTATGTATGTGTGGATGTGCGAGGATGGCAGCGTCAACGCCGAAATCCGTTGCTTTAAATGCAATTAAACGCCCGCTTTAATTCAAAGGATTTCGACAGCGGGAGCAAATTGGATCAATATGGGTACATTCTTATTTGCATGCACATCTACACATGTAAGTGTGTGTGTGTATGTGAATGTCTCTGTAACTCTAGTGTGTGCCGGTGTTGCCACTTAGCGCAAGCTGCTGCTCTTTACACATGCCGGATGTGTCGGCAACACCGACTGCTACCGCGCTATCTGCACACTGCATCACATCTTCGACGTAATCTCCATCGTCAGTAGCAAGCAAACAGCGCGCTTTGCAATGCGCTCCCTCCGGATGGTATCAGATTGCAGCCTTTGTTTGATCTGGTGCTCGTGTCGCGCATTTCAGCTGCTAATATCAGTGGTTTATTTGCATGTTTGCGATCAAAATATGAATATTTGTTGTGTTCTGTTTGTTTTCTTTGCTACACAGCTCTGGCTTGGGTCCGGGTTTTGTTCTTATTTTTGTGGGTTTCATGATATCTGAGTTTAAGGCTGCTTTAATTGTTTGCATATTAAAATAACCTTAATGGCGCGTGCCACAAGATATGATTACAGCGAGAAATTTGTTCTCGATGAAAATATATACATACATACATATATAAGGTAATTGTTTATTTCGCGTATCTAAAAGACAAAATATTACTAAGCAATAATTTCAAAGTTAACCAAAACTAAAAATGTATAGTTTCCTATATTATTGTCTTGTATGTCGCATAGTCTAAATGTAGGCACCGTTTAATTTTCGAGTTTTGAGTGTCTGTAAAACATTGCCTACATTTGAATGTTTACAATAACACGTGACATTTTTTTGCCACCTTGTAAATTTCATGGCATTTACTGATCACCAAACTGAATCTAGTCATCAACTTATCCCAGGATTTTTACATGAATCAAAATTACGGGAGAGCACTTGCTTATTGTATCAATTTTTCAGCTGCTCGTGAAGGCATAACGCCCACCACGACACTACCGCTGTGCACGCCCCACCAATTTGGCAATAAAATTGTAAACATCTTGCTATGTCGCGCCTTCAAATCAAGATCGCTTTATTTGCCAATATTGCAGCTTTTCACTAAAGAAAGACATCCAGAAGTAAGTGAGTAGCTAAATTTCACAATATACGATATGTGCACAAACCCGAACTCGACAGAAACTGCTTACCAGCTGTATTTATCCATCTACTCATATGACTACCCGCCCCACAAACACGAGCTGTGCATATTCTCGACTACTTATGGCGCAATCCTTCGCCGATTGCCACATGAAGACATAGAAGGCAAAATTGAAGAATGTTGGCACGTTCTACGGTAGAAGGAAAAACCAATAAACACATTTGAACGCGTAGAATAATAAGCATACCCGTTCGCTATACACTCGTGCCCAACGAGAGGGGAGGGTAGAAAATCCATTTGAAATAAAAACGGATTCATTTGGTAATGCGAGAGATGCATATACATATACGGATGTACATCAGCAGCAGTGATCAAAGTGATAAAATGGTGATGATATGTTCAAAATAAGAAGGTTCCGCAGAGATGGAAATATGCGTGTTGTTGAACTCGCATGTGTGTATATCTGAGTGGGCATGCTTATCGGCTGCCAAAGGTGCATTTTGTGATATCGTCCTGCTGGTAAGCTAGCATCTTCACAATAAGTGGCAATCCACGTAACAGCAGGTGTTTCTGGAAATGTTTTGATTCTTCTTCAAACATATATGTATAAGTCACAATAAGGAAGGGAACTATATATATATTAAAAAAACGCTTTATAAATTTGATAAAAGAAGATTTATTTTGGTTAGTAAAAATTAGAACCCGCGTTTTCGTAGGCTATTTTATTAATTATTTATTTAATCACCCTTATACTAGTATTTTTATGTAGCATATCATTGGTCAACGTATGTACAAATATGTGTGTCTTCTTAAAATAGTGGAACTTAATAACAGTAGTTAGTAATTCTAATATTTCATTTCTAGAAGTAATTTCATAAAATATACCTATAAAATTTTTCTCTGCACCTTTTCAAGTTTATTTTGGAAATTAAAAGACTTCTCAAAGCATTTTGCTCTTTTAAAATATTTTATGTAAATTTATGGGAATCCTAATTACATTTGATACAACCAAAACCCAACCAGAAGGACCCACAGTGCAATAACTCGCACTTGAAGTGTACAATTCTCACACGCTGTCCGCTAAGCATTATTAAATAATAGACGATTATTATATCTGACAGTTTAATTATTTGTTTTGACGCGTGAACTGAACTTTCTTACGGGTATAAATACGATGTGAAGACACATATCTGAATCAAAAGCTTGTTATTATCGAAATTCCTATTTTATCACGGACGAGAAATGACTGTTAAACACATCAGACCTACCGCATCCTTTGCAAAGCTCATGAAGATGGCACGCTTTATTTCCAGTTTAGTCGGCGCCGATGTCTCCACGGAGAATTATCGTGTCAACATCATCACTATTATTGTGATAATCTGCATTATTATATACTTTATCTTCACCGCAACCACAGTGGCCAGTGTCTTTTCGGAGAACTGGACATATTTGCTAGAGGCATCGTGTATGGTGGGTAGCGTGTTGCAAGGCATCACTAAACTCATTTCGGGAATAATCCGCACCAAAACCGTCTCCGACATGCGCTTGGAATTGGAAGAGCTTTATCGTACATATGAGTCCAAGGGAAAGACATATTGTAAGGTAATGAATAAGTGTTGCGACCGCGTGTGGCAGCTAATAAAATTGGTGGGACATATTTACGCTGCTTCAATTTTTGGAATTCTGCTGCTTACAACCGTTATGGTGCTCGCTACAAATCAGAAAATATATGTTATGCAGTTCTTCATACCCGGCGTGGACGTTGAGACGTCTTTTGGTTATCTCTTCACAACCGCTGTGCATACGGTGGTTTTTCTAGCTGGTGCTTTCGGCCTCTTTGCTGGTGATTTATTTTTTCTGATTTATCTGGGACAACCCGAGTTGTTTCGCGACATTTTGATATTAAAAGTCAAGGAGCTTAACGAAGCGGCCGCCGAAAAGGACAATAAAACTGAAAGTTTATTGATTAGTATTATTGAGTGGCAACAATACTACACGGAGTAAGAATGATTTTAGTATCTGCAGAATCTAAAACACTAGTCATATTGTATATGTAAATATTGCAATTACAGTTACAATGAACGTTGTAATGAGATATTCTATTACATAATAACAATGCAAATTCTGACTTCGGGCGTGTCGATTATCTGCACTATGTACATCATACTTATGGGCGATTGGCCGGGGGCGTATTTGTACATTTTGATAGCAATTTGTGGACTTTACCTGTACTGCATTATTGGCACCAACATACAAACATGTGTAAGTAACAATAGAAAATTCAATAACAAATAAATTAATAAAAGCAAGAAAATTAATCAAAGATTACTTAATTTTTTTTTCCAATTCAAAGAACACGGCGTTCTTTGAGGAACTTTACAACATAAACTGGTACGAATTGGATTTGAAAGGGCAAAAAATGATGATACTAGTTTTAATGAAATCACAAAATCCAAGCGAGATCAAAATTGGAGGCGTCTTGCCGCTCTCCGTTCAAACTGCACTTCAAGTAACTTTGAACTCGGAATTTCCAAATGGAAATATTTTTTTATATATATTTGATTAATTTCAGATAACAAAAACAATTTATGGCATTTTCACAATGATGTTGGGATTTCTAGAAGAAGAACAATGAAGATCACAATCTCCAAAATCATTCGAATCTCAAAATATATTGACGAGTAGGCTACGCTTTATTTCGATTGATTGTAGTTCTTATCCACATTACGTGCTTCTCAGAGCTTATTTGGATAAATTATTAAAAAATAAAAATCAAAATCTATTTCACCATCGGTTCTGTTCTCAATTAGTTCTTACGACCAGATCAGATACTTTCAAGTATTGCCTACATATCGGCGTGCAGTACGTAATTTCAATCAATTTCAATAATATGAATCATAAGTTAGGATATAATTTGAATCTTTCATGTTCGGAATAATCACATTTTCCATTTTAATTTCAGCGGATGCTTTCTAAATTGTGCTGCGTCAAATAAAACTTTAAAATCTTCAAGTCGAATTAACCTTATTTAATAATAAAAATTATATTTTATGAAGACATGTTTTTTATTCCGATCGGTCAGTTGTAATAGCAGCTATATGAAACAGTGATACGATCTGAACAATTTGTTTGGAGATTGTAAGATACCTTGTCAGATATAAAAGTTTTCCAAACAAGAACTTGAGTTTGATCGATCAGTTTGTATGGCAGCTATATCCTATAGAGTTCCGATAACGGCGGTTCTAACAAGTAAGTAGCTTATATTATAAAATTGGAAAGAAAAAAACGCGTGCAAAATTTCAGATGGATATCTTAAAAACTGAGGTACTAGTTCAGGTATATACTGACGGAGAGACGTACTACAAACTTTGTGGCAAACTTAATATACCATGCTCAGGGTATAAAAATAAAAAACTGAATATATAATATAGATTATTTATTTATATGCAAAGCGTTACAGAGCAATTTTCTAAATATGTCAATACTAATTAAGCGAGTGCATTGTTTTGAGTCCAGAACGTTTCGACATTTCAAAAATATTAGCGAAGCTACTGAGCAAATGAAAATTATCCTAATATTTTTACTGATTCTCTTCCAAAAAGCCGAGCATCATTGTAAATATCCCATAAATCGTTTTGGTTATCTGAAAATAAGTAATACAATAATAAATTATCATTCCCATCATTCCCCACCCATTGAAAACAGAGGTACTCGTTATAACCTGAAGTGCAGTTTGTACGGAGAGTGGTAGGAAACCACCGATTTTAATCTCGCTTGGATTTTGTGCCTTCATTAAAATAGGTATAATCATCTTCTGGTTTTTCACCTCCAAATCGTAAAAATTTATATTCCAAAGCTCTTGGCAAAATGAGGTATTCTGTGGAAATATAGTAGATAAATTGATAAATTTGGATAATACTAATAATTTCTCAACAATTTCGGATCAATCGCTTACACAAGTTTGAATTTTTGTACCCATTATGCAATATAGATAGAGACCGCTAAAGGCGACTAGAATATATAGGTATGCTCCAGGCCAGTCACCTAGTAGAATAATGTAGAGCGTGCATATAATTGAGATGCCCGAAGTGACTATTTGCATGCTGTTTATATAATAAAAAATACGATTACAACGCAGATTGTAGCTAGAAAAAGTTAAGAAATTAGATTAGGAAAGTTCATTGAAATACACTACACCCACTCCGTATAGTATTGATGCCACTCAATAATTTCGATTAGCAGACGGTCGGCTGTACTGCACTTTTCAGCAGCAGCCTCATTAAGCGACTTCACTTTCAACGCCAACAGATCAAGAAACAACATCGACTGTCCTAAAAAGAGCAAGAAGAATAGATCGCCAGCGAAGAGACCGAAAGCTCCAAAAAGAAAACACAGAGTATGCAGGGCCAATGTAATCAGATAGCCCATTTGTGTGTCTACATCAATGCCAGGTATTAAGAAGTGCATTAAAAAAACTTTTTCGGTAGATGCAAAGATCAAAACGATGGTAATCAATATAATTCCTCCTCCAGCGACAAGATACACTTGTCCCACCAATTTTATGACTCGCCACACACGTTCACAAGATTTATTTAGCGCATCAGAATAGTCGTCGCCCTTCACTTCATATTCACTATAAAGATTTTCCAACTCTATGCGAGTGTCACAGATTTCTTTGGCGAAAACAAAAGCCGAAATGAGTTTAGTGATGCCCTGCAACACGCTGCCTACCATACACGACGCTTCCAGCAAGTAAGTCCAGTTTTCCGAGAAAACACTGGCCACTGTGGTCCCGGTGAAGATAAAGTAACTCACAATGCAGATTATCAAAGTAATGGTGATAATGTTGACTCGATAATTCTCATCGGAGACATCAGCACCGACCAAACCGGAAATTAAATGGAAAAACTTTATAATCTTTGCAAACGATTCGGTTGGGCGGACTCTTTTAGTAGCCATTTTGCTGTGCGTAGAAAAAATTTTATAACGCTAGAAAACTAATCGCACATGCAAAGAATTGCGTTACCTGTATTTATACTCGTTTGATTGCAATGGGTACTTGGACATCAAAATAAGCAATTAAATTGTCACAATCACTAATTGGCACAGTAGTTCTGTTTGTAAGTTGAGACTAAAGAACTATCTAGTAATCACTTATGTCAATTTAGTCTATATTTAAAGGAAAGAAATTTGGTTAAAGATTAATAAGGACTTTTGACCGCGTTTCATTTAAACTTCATTTAACAAAACATTCCCTACAAGAACTTGATTTCGATCGGTAGTTTGCTGGCAGCTGTATGCTATCTATATGCGATCCGATCTGAACAATTTCTTCGAAAATAGAATCATTGACTTAAATAATAATCCAAGCCAAATTTTGTGAAAATATTTTCCATACACGCACTTGATTCCGATCGTTCAGTTTGTATGGCAACTATATGCTCCGATATCGGCGGTAAATGGACAGCTATTTGGGAAGAAAGACCCTTTATACCCTGTTCAGTTTCATGGTTTTCAACTGTCTCTCTAAAAGAGCATTATTTTTTGTGTGCAATATTTTTCACTAATTGAATTGAAATTAAATGTTAGTCCATTACGCCAGTGACAGTACTATACATCTAATCAAAATCTTAAAAGTTGTTGTATGTTGTATAATACAATTTTAACTCAGCCTTTAATGAAGCATTCCCATTTCAGAGCGTTATTTTCAGTATATTTTCATTTATTCTAATTAGTGCTGATATTAGATATGTGAATTCTCATAATGTGATGAAATGATTGGCAAACTAAAATCATTAATATTAATTGTCCAAATTTTCCACTTAACAATTTGAAAGCAAATGGATATAAGTGGGTTGCGGAAAACTTGAGCGTTTCAAGCGATTTAGCTACGAAAATATTAGATAACCCAATTAACGAATTTAACCCCCATTTTTAACATCCGGGCGCTTGTCAATCAGTCGTCTGAAGATGTTAATGAATTGCATGAATATATTGTATATTTGTAGACATGTGAACTCATAAGTATGCTTACTATTTATTTAAATTCGATTTCTTATGTGATTGTTGTTGCCACAACTAAATGACTTCATTTGAAACCATGCTTGAGAGCGATTGAAGACCATTGGATAGCAATATTGAAAATTTGACATCTTTGATTTCACCAAGGAAATTGAAATTTGATATTAATAAATCATGCTCGCAAGAACATGAGACACACGAATCATATTGATTGCTATGAATTTTATGTAAATAAGTATGCATATACCATGCGATTATTTCATGTATAGAAAAATACAAAGAAATTAGTGCTTGCTTTAAGCAAACCAACCTTTTTATCCGCCATATCGCTGCTTCTAGCGTCTACATAGTCTAGTTTCAGGCGCTATCACAGGCAGGTGGAAATTTGCGTGCTAATTGCTTATACTTTACTCCAAATTCTTGGCATTTGCATATTGTTTGCTCTGCATCGATTGACCCAATTTGCTCACACCTCATTTCCTGTACTTGTTACTTCCGTTCTAATTTCGTAAATATTTTCTAAATATTTGTATTTGTATATGTGTACAGATTATTGTACTACAATAATTTCTGTTCTTATAACTTGGCGTTTTTGTACAATATTAGAAGTAAGCTCAACATAAAATGAAAATTCTAAAAATTGTAAAACAATCCTTGAATAATTTTAGTGTATATATTATGAATAATGAAATTATAATAATTGTTAAAAAAATATTACACGCGTACAATATTGCACACAAATGACTTAAAAGGTAACAATAATGAACACAATATTCAAATCGATTGTATTCAAATGTGGCTTAAATATTAAAAAAAATTTAAATTAGACAAGGCACTTAAATTTTAAATGGAACCAACGATAGAAAAATTACTCGAACTTAGTTTTCACGAATTAAAAAGTGAAAGTAAGAAAGAATAATTTCTTCCTCCTCAGCAGACTCTAAATTAATTACGAAACGAAGAAGATAGTATAGTATTGAAGGGTCCTTAAAACAAGTTCAAGAGAAAAAGGTGATCATGTGGTATACCAAAGATTCCTGCAACGTAAGAATCGAAAAACCTAATACACTTCAATCCACTGCAGATAGTTCATTTGACTACTTTCTGAGAGTTTAGTGCCAAGGTAAACTCGAAGATTTTTAAGAAGACTGAGAACATACACCATTGCTTAAAACACTCTAAAACATTAAACATTTTACATAAATTCATGCATCAAATATTCAAGTATAGCTGCGATTTCACTCATAAATGCATATTATTTCGACCTTCAAAAGATCCGCTCTACATTATTTTATATTTGAAAAGATTTCCGGTTCATAGGAGCAGAATGAAGAGCAAAAGAAAAATACTGATTTTACCTTCAATAAAGAGGACAAAGAATTAATACTTAATATTTCATAGGGGAACCCCTAACGATTAGGGGAACCCAGCGATTATTACAACACATTGTCTCTCCATTGAATATGACTCAAGCCATTGCAGAAAAATATAATGAAAGTCTAAACAAGTTAGCACATTTCTTAGAATCTTGTATGCTTTAAACCCTATGTAAGTATTTTTTAATATTGTTTGGTCGTTCAACTGACAACTCTGTTCAAAATATGAAGCATAATATATCTGTACTAAATTTGAATGGATCCAACGGCTTTAAACACTAGAGAAAATGTATTCCGCAATTATTCCAATTATCAGCTCATAACAAATCAGTTAGTCAATTTCTAAAAATTGCCTTTAAATCAGTTCTGTGTACATATAATACAAACATACAAGTATATACAATATTATTGTACGTATGTATGTAGGTGAGTTTTTCAAAATCAAAAATTAAATGTTTATTAAGAGGCTTGCCTGAGCACTCAAATATGTTGTGTGTGAAAGAACACAAACAAACATATGTATATTTACTTTATAGCTATATATATGGAGCACTATTGTTTGAATAAATAGACAGTCACAAATAGGAGACCAACAAAAGATGAATGATATTTACATACATGCAATAGAAAGATATTCATTTATTTACGAAAAATATTTTCAAACTAAATTACGAATTCAAGTTGCACTCAATTATAACTGTTTTCGAGAAAAATTAAAAATAAAGAATACCCAAATTTCCTACTTTCATGCATTTGGGAAAGTTAATAATCAAGAAAATACGCAAACAGGTAAAATGTAAAAAAAAATCTAAAAAAAAAATTTTAAATTTACAAAAATAGTCCAAAATATTCCAACCTCTGGGCAATTATATTCAATAATTTATTTGGTGACGTCAGTTGATTTTTATTCAAAAAAAATTACAAATGCGTAAAAAGGCATTCCGATTTTAAACAAAAAATCACAAATTCATTCAAATTCAACGGAAGCTTTGTCTGAATAAAATTTTAACAAAATACCAAAGAAGCAGATGCTAGAACCAAGGAGGGGAATTTTTGCTTCAAACATATAAGTTATGCAAAATTTAGATATTTTTGTGTTCAACTCATACATACGCAAAAAATGAGTACTCGTAAACCTGTACGCATATGGGAATTCGTTAGTTGTTCAAAAAAAAAATATATATATGATTTCAGTATTTGAAAATTAAATTTTCTTTTGATTTTTGAGAGTTAATAGCAATTTTTTGAATAAAATATGATTTCAATATTAAATTTACTAATAGATAACCAAACCTTTTTTATTATTAACACTTTCTACTGAGAATTCTCTCTCTCTATTTACCCAGAAGCAACTGAAATTTATGTATCTAATCAATTCAAATCAAATTCATTCACAAGAAATTAAAACTCACGTGTGTTGGAATTCATTAACATGAAGAGACGTACATATGTTTATGCATAATACAAATACAATTCAATAAATTTATTTAAATGAAATCAAGTATTTAACACACAATCACTTGAATTTGAATACATTGCACTTGAGTGTGTCTTACTCACAGTGGCAATTTACGATTGAAAAAATATGTTACGCCATTCTAGGGCTTCATACGCAGTCAGTGCTTGCAACGAGTTAGTCTGTGTTAGTTCCAAGAAGTCGTGTCAAAGTTTTTATTCTATTTTATTTAGGCGTCAATTGCCAACACCCAACCCGCATCGCGCAAGCACCGACTAACATTTGTTCAATAAAGCACCACATGTAAATCTTAAATCAGATTTGCACCGATTTGCAGCGAATTCTACATGCACACAATTGTAGCCTACTTAAGGGCGCTTCAAACAAGAATACCCCTCAGCACTGTGGTATGTGGCCCAGCAGAAAACGAAATTTTCAGGCAATGGTTTGCGAAACAATTTCGAATTTGTAAAAGTCATTCTAGCAGCGACCGTCACCCAGCGAGTATAAAAAAAATCGGCATTTCAAATCTTAATTTATTTAATATTCTGTCATCCAAATTTTACAGCTACATTTTAATATTATTTAATATATACTAAAGATAATAAATTGAAATAAAAATTCTATATGTTCTTTAATGTGAATTTTTCTCGTAGGGATGGCTTATAGGGTTCGTGTGCTAAGCTTAAATATTGAACGCTTGTGTTTAAAGCGAAAGCGTGCCAAGCAAACATGGTGTGGCATTTTTCCTTTTCCGTTGTACTTTGTTAACTGCATGCAATTTTTATTTTTCGCAATTCTTTGTTGTTATAGGCGTCACCTTTGACACCTTTTTGAACGCGAAATGTTAAGTTTTACAAGCGGATTCACCTATTTATTTGCGTATAAGCACACATACCGACAAACATTTACTAATTTACTTCATGTAATTAGATCTTCCACTGAAGTGAATACTCATATGAAGTAATTGTAAAATGATTACCACATATACATACCTATATGTAAGTAGTAAGTAATAGCTTCGAGACTTTGGAATTCGATTGCCATAAACCCTAAAAGTATAGATGAACTTACAAAAACCAAAAGAAGTATATATAATATAAAGAGAGTGTTCTGCAAGCTGCCTTTTGCAACTTTGACGAAATTTTATGATAAATCTCGGCACAAAGAAGTTCATGGAAGAGGGTCACAAAAGCAGCATTGTTCAAAAAAGTAATGATATGTTTTCGTATGTATGGAAAATATAGAAAACAAGACCCCGCAGTAAACAAAGTGTCAGTAAATTGTGGATTCCAATTTGGGTCTTGGTTACTTTATAAATTCAAGATTCTCTTCGAGCTACGGCAAGAAAAAAAGTTCAACAGTTATACCATAAGTAAGTAGCTAATATGTACGTAGAGGCTAAACACTTTAATAGATTTCTTCAACTCATATTTACACACACAGAAAAAAAATGTGTGGGGTTTTCGCGGATTGTCTGAGTTTCTAGGGAATGACATATATTTATGTACAATAAAAAGCAGTAAGAAGGGCATAAATTCGGAGGAAACTCAAAGTTGTATACTTGCACAATAAAGATATATATCAAAAGCAGGGTTGCAAATATTGCATTAACAAAATAATATTTGCAAAAGTATACTTTCTTCAATCGTATAATGATCCTGATAAAAAAACAAGCATGGCAACGCGTTTAATCCAATTTTCCACACACTTGTTATAAGCCTTGGCTGAAATGGCCCTCCGTGCCTTCGGCGAATTTTAGGTTTTTTCGGTTTAATGTTCATATACCCACGTCTCGTCACCAGTACTGATACATTGGTTGACTCAGCTACTTGTCAAGCAACCCCAATCCGACGTTGTTTGGCAAACATTAACCACAATGTGTTGAGTCATAAGAGATTTTAAGATCCTCTGCTATCTCTCTGATGTCAACACTACGATTTTCAAGAACTGTTTCTTTAACTTTTCCGATTTAACGACAATAAATTAAAGAAGGTGGATGGACGACTCGCGTCGGGCAAGTTTTCTATGACTCCACGACCGTCATTAATGGTTTGTGCCACTGCAACATAACTCGCCCCACAAACTTCGTAAACGAACCAAACACACACTAATTGACATCTGGAGATCAAACTTCACGTGAACATAAAAAAAAGTTTTAAGTTGTTTAAAATATTTCCTAAGTTTTCTTTCAAAAAAAATCCGCAAAAATCACCTTTTTTAGGCGGTTTTAAACCCAAACTATATCGCATAGTTCCAGATGCCTTCCCTTAAGGTTCATTCCGCTCAGTGTACAACATACATGTATATGCTTGTTAAAGAATATTTATGCACATATATTTAAGTTTATTGCCTTATTACATTTCTTGGATTCACAAATCATTTACGTGCACGTTTAACGATGCGCTTACAAAACTTTTAATGCATTTGAAATTTTCAACCACAATAGAGTTCTTAATTAAATTGTGAGTGAAGTTATTCTGCTCCTCAACGCCCAGAGGCGCACTCATCAACCTAACCGAACGCCATGGCGAACATAATCGACAGCATATACGGGTATCTAACAGCGCCTGGTGATCTATCCAGTAAGTAGTTACTCATGCGAGAACACATGTCCATATACATTACATAAGAAAAGAGATAATATTTTGAAATTCTCTGCAGCAGGCAACCGCTTCCTGCCCTTCCATGGCGCCTTGCTGCCATATCTGCTAACCACCATTTTCTATGTGTTATTCGTATTCAAAATCGGACCGTTCTTTATGAAAAATCGTCAGCCGTATAACCTGACTTCCGTGCTACGATACTACAATATTGGTCAAATCATTTACAATGCCGTGGTTTCATGCATGGTGGGTGAAATTCCACATTTATTCTAAACAATTACATACAATATTTGTGTACTTTGTATTTTAGGCTTTCTACTTGTATGTGATAAAGAGTCCGCTGGCCCTCACTTGCATCACCATATTGCCCAAGGATCATCCACTAAAGAATATTGAAGGACTCGTTAGCGCCTTGTATGTGATCAATAAATTCATCGATTACTTTGACACAATATTCTTTGTGCTCCGCAAGAGCTACAAGCAAATCACATTTCTGCACGTTTATCATCATATCATGATATCATCCCTGGGTTTGCTCTACCTTAGGTATTTGGGTGGAGGTGGGCACGCAGCCACGGTTGGTATTTTGAATTCCTTTGTGCACGTGGTAATGTACGCATATTATCTGGCGAGTGCGACGCATCCGGAAATGAAGAACTCACTGTGGTGGAAGATATATGTGACCAAACTGCAGCTCATCCAATTCGTGGTGTTATTCGTTCACCAAATGTGGCCCTTGGTGGTGCAAACGGATTGCGAGTATCCAAAGCTTCTTTTGGTGTGTTCATGTTTACAAGCTCTATTCATGATTTACCTTTTTAGTAGCTTTTATGTTAGAACGTACATCAGAAGCCCGAAAAAGGAAACCGGTGTAGTGGAAGAAGCTAAAAAACGATAAATTTAAGAGATTTTTTAATTAATAGTAAAAATGATATTAGCATGATAGCTGATATTTAGCAAACTACTCCTTAAAGTCTTTAAATTTAGGGAATAAGATGAAAATAAATTGTGTGCCATGTTTATAATACCTTTCGAAATAAATTATTATTAAGGGATCTAAAACTCTTCTGGGTGGAATAGAATCAAAATAAAATATTAAAAACTACCTATCTGGCTATAAAAATGGAAGAATAAATACTTGCATCTTTCTGAGTTTACAACTAGGTCCTGAGACTATGAGTATACTTATTCTATTTGAATGACGGTTTGTCTTAGAGGGTTGTTGGGGTATAAAAAGAGAAGCGAACTATATATTTTTCAGTAAGATAACTGGGCATATATTCTCTTTGTTATTTGACGATTACTTTGTGGAATTTTCAATAAGGACAAATGTAAACGGATGCTCTAAGCAGTTATTTTATTGCTATGAGTAATTGAAACCATATTTCAACTATATTGGTTTTGTGTACGGACAGAAACGCCATCACTTTCTCATCAATATACACACATCGAAGAAGAATTAATTAGTTTAAGAGAATTTTGCAGGCTGGAATTGCGAAGATTCTGCGCCAAAAACGAACAAATGAACTATTTGTCTAATGGCTTTAGTGGTAGCCAAACTTCCAGAAAATCTGAGTATTTTACGAGTTTTACTTTTACTTGTGCAGAATTAATATAATTTTCAAAAAAAAATATTTTACATACATATGAGTAAGTATATACATATGTAAGTATGTTAGTGCGAATATTGTTATCAGTTATAATTTTATTAAAAGCGAATACAAAAAAACAATTCAATTCAAATGTTCATGTGAACAAAATTGTGTAATGAAATACTTTAATGCAATTGCCACCGAAACCAAAAACAAATAGACAAAAATTAAGTATTCCTCTGGCACTTTGAACTTAATTAAAATCAGTGAATTAAAATTATGTACAATTTAGTGCGACACAAATCGCGCACTTCTAATGTCGAAAAGAAACTGAAGCGCAACAGTATGCCAAAGTGAGTGAACGAGCTTCGTAGTCGGCGAAGATCAACATGATGGATTTTCTGGAAAGTGTCTATGTCCTGGTAACAAGTCCTAGCCCCAATAAGGAAGGTGAGAATGTGAATGTGTTGAATAAAATTGTAGACTACCGAGTGGAAGTGCTTGATGATTTCATACTTATTAATTTTTCATAATTTATCAATAGGCTACAAATATCTACCCTACCATGGCGCCCTTCTGCCAGTTATCCTCGTCGAGATCGCATACGTTTCATTTGTTTTCAGAATAGGACCATGGTTTATGAAAAATCGAGAACCCTACAAGTTGACGAGCGTGTTGCGTTACTACAACATAATGCAGATACTTTTCAATGCTTTCATGGCGGTTTGTGTAAGTCTATGAGTAACATTAATTGGACCGAAAAGGTTTGAACTTCAACTGACACATCTACGGTTTGACTATTTCAGGGCAGCTACTTGTACTTCTACAAGAAAATCATGCCCTTTGGTTGCATAACCGCGTTATCTTCGGAGCATCCGCTCAAGTCGATAGAAATGCTGGCCAGTTTTGCTTATTTAATCAACAAGTTCCTCGATCTTTTTGATACAATATTCTTTGTGCTGCGAAAAAGCTATAAGCAAGTGACCTTTCTCCATGTCTATCATCACATCTTGATGACCAGCATATCATTTATTTATATACAAATTATGGGCAGTGGTGGACATGCTGCCATCACCGGCATCATGAACTCCATTGTGCATGTGATAATGTACGGTTACTACTTTGTGAGTGCCTCCAGTCCCAATGTGAAAAACTCGCTGTGGTGGAAAAAGTATATTACGCAAATACAAATTGTACAGTTTGTTTTGGCATTAATTCACAATTTGTGGCCACTAATTGTCGATACGAACTGTGCTGTGCCGAAAATATTCTGTGTGTTCTCTGTGATACAAGCCGTAATGATGATTTACCTCTTCGGTAGTTTCTATAAGAAAAGTTATTTGGATGCGAAGAAGAAAGTTCAGAAGAGTAAGTAATCTAGAAGGATACTATTATCTACATACATATGTGTACTCGTTACTTGAGTGCAGTCGATTCCTTGTATTTGTACTTATCATTTCGTAAATTATGTATAAATATATTTATACTCAATTATGAGTGAGCAATTTTGTAAAATACATTTACGATTCAAATATTACAAAGAAAAGATGTGTGAGTTTTTATTTTTCTCGAAAAATGTTCATATATTTACACTGCAATATCACCATTGATTTGATTTCGTTTAAAGTGATTTCCTTAAAAATATCATATGGGAAACGGTAGTTTTGTTTTATGAGGTTTCTTACCCGATTTTGTATGATTTTGCCACGCTAATTCCAAAACTCTAGTCAGTTTTTCTCTAGCAGCTCTAGTTTTCGAAATATGAACATATTACATTTTTAGTCAAAAATACATTGCTATTAACATGAAAAAAACTTTCTTTTATGTGCTTTTCTTGCATGAGTAGAAACATCAATCTTGTTTTGAATGCTCTAGCAGTAATCAACCATCATATTTGTGTTCCAACGACCCTGCTATCGTTCTTCCATAGTGTAAATATCCTAATGAAAGCGTTCTCCTTGTTATTCGCTTAAGTCGCCTAAATTTTCTGGGAAGCGATCTAAATCGTCTGTTCCCCCTCCCCGTAATAGGTTTAATGTAAATATATCCTAAACTATTAGAGCTGCAATAACCAAATTCGCTTAGGACAAATCCTTTATGTGCCCTACCTACAGTGCGAAAACGGAATATAACCCCGCTATCTCCCCATATAACGATTTTATTAAAAACTACTGAAACCGCCTACTTACCTCCCATATAACACAATTTTAAATTCCATCTGATTTTTATACTTTCCAGGATACAAATCAAGAACCAATCAATAAATCCCGATAAAACTTTTCACAAATTGTGCCCTCAGGATATTTCATTTTACGCCCAAAAATTGTCGAAATGGGACTATAACTTTTAAAGAACCCAGACGCCAAATATATGGACCCCAGTGCATATGGCTGACTTTTTGCCGAACATATCGGTCAACGTGTGAGATATATTACTTAAATTCGGAGAAAATGTAAAAGTAATTGCAGTTGACTTTATACCACATAGGTATATCGGCCAAAGTGTTAGTTATTTTAATGAAATTGAGAAAACGTGGTTTACTAACTACTGTGCCTAAAAGGGATAAAAAACGGGCGAAAACAGGATTTTGAAACATCTGGCTGACTATATACGCTTATATTTATATACCATGCAAGTTGCATGAGTATAAAATATTCGGTTACACCCGAACTTAGCACTTACATACTTGTTAATTTTAATATTTATCTGGGGGCGGTGCTTTGCCCTTTAAGCCCTGTAACTTATTTTAATCGAATGAAATTCAAAACTATTTGATTTACCGGATATTAGAAAGTTGCAGTTGATTATGTCAGAGTTCCACCAAATTGTATAAAGTTTGACAAGTAAAATTTGACAGTTCGCTTTAGCATTAACTGAACGGAAAGGGTTCCAGTGTTGCAAAACCATGATTTCGAATCAAATTCGAATTTTACAGGGTGTCACATTTACATAGGGCCACTTTTATTTTTTAGATGGTAAAAATCGCCATACAAATGTTCTGCCAAACACACACTAATTGACATTTAGAGATCCAACTTTACTCAAAGTTCATTAAGCATTGCAGCAATCGAAACAAAAACTTCATCGACTTAGTTTCTGCGCGCAGTCGGTTCAAATTTGACCAAACCCAAAACTCTTCGTTTCGAAAATGTTTCATAATTCCAAAACTTGCGCGCTTTCAGTATTTTTTTAAATAAAGCTGACTTAAGCGTACGTCGAGTACATAAAGTAAAGCTTCTCAGTTATCGATTAAATGTTCTTACGATATTCAGTTTAAATACTTACAAAATCTGACTAAGTACTCACAAATACAACTTCAGCCATCGCCCGCCTCAGAAATAGCACATTTAATTATATGCCCCTCCAACTTTAAATAGACCGACTACAGCCGGTAAGTACAAACATGCATATCGCATATGTTTAAACTAGTTGTTATGTATATAAGTTCAGTCAAGAGCTGAACCCAAGAGGTGTCTGATTTAAATTTTCTTTTTGTGGTTTTCCTTATGCAACTCCCAGCAAATATACCACACATTTGTGGGGTAAAGTCTCATCTGTTACATAAATTACAGAATTATGTAATAAGGCGGTTCATTTTGCTTATAATATTGGGGGTTTCAAAACATTGAGTACTGGGAATTTTAGTATTCGTAGTACATGTACATGGTTGGCGAGGTTCAGGTTTAATGAACGAAACTAGAGCAGAAGGTAAAGATTAAAAAAAAGACATTCCTATGAATTCCTGTATATTTATTGGTAAATTTAGCCTCATGAGAGTTTAATAATTATCTGACAAGGGCTGGATATTATGATTTAAAAATTGTCAATGTTTCACATAATAATGTTTCAGCAGAAAGCTTTCAGTCTCGTTTCCAGGTAAGCTACGTTGTAGTCTCTTTTCAACCTCTAAATTAAAAACTTTGTAACGGTTTTATTTTGTCATAGCGGTGGAAGTTCGCTTGTGATTTTAGTAAACATAATAAAATAAAATAAAAAAGTTATATAATTAGACGAGAAATAAATCGATTACCATCGTACATTTATTTAAAACAGTCTTGTTAGCAATTCGAAGTCATTTATTATATGTTGAATTGAACAAAAAATAATAACACAAGAAAACACGTTACCTACGGCTGGACCGAAGCTGTAATACCCTTCACAAGTGCATTTTTTAAAGCATAAAAGGGTATAAAAAGACCTGATCTTGATTTTGATATCAGTTTATATGACAGCAATATGCTATAGTGATCCGATCTGAACAATTTCTTTGAAGATTGCATTAGGCTATAATCCATGTCAAATTTCATGAAGATACCTAGTCAAATTAAAAAGTTTTCTATACATGCACTTGATTCAGATCGTTCAGTTTATGGCAGGCAGCTATACGCTATAGTGATCCAATATCGGCGGTTCCTATAAATGAGCAGCTTCTTCATGAGAAAAGAAATACAATTGTGAGGATTAAAAAAGTTCGAGCTCAAATTGCGATGACAGCGGAACTTTTGCTGATGACAAATGCTCGCAGTTAGCTTAAACTTGAGACTGCGACACAGTCCCCGAGTTGAATAAACCTTTTCATAAACGAGTATGCATTCGTTACGAATTTACCGACAACAACGTCATGAAGATCGTATCAGAATTGTAAAGGCGCTCGTGAACTGAAGAGTATTTTAGTGAGGTTTTAGAGTACGATCGCATAGGCGTTGGTGTATACTACTTGTATTCCAAATTCTATGCGGGGTGTGTCAATATTACCAAACCTACGTGTAAATACGCTCTTTGACTGGTCATAATTTAAGGAAGTATTAAGAAGGACTCAAGTTAAATTTATGTATACCTAAGGATACTTGTAAAAGGTATAAGATTTTCAGATCTTGAATCTATAGACTTGTATGCATACCGTATACGTAAGCAATCACGCACTCGCTCTAGCCAATGATAATGATATTTTAATTAATGATAATACTTTGTAAAGAAAATGTGAAGCTTGCTTTCGATTCATTTTAAAACAAAGGAAGCAATATGCTAACGGTTTTATTCACAACCAGCGCTCGAGCGGGAACGTTGTGTACAACGCGAATTTGTTTAAAACAAAACGATGTTGGGCACACTTTACGATTTTCTCACAAAGCCCACTGAAGTGAAGGAGGGTTAGTATAACTGTACTATAACTCTAACAAGTTTTAATAAACATATTAAAAAGTCCTGTTTTCCATTTTTTATTTGAAAAAAAAAAAATCGCAGCTTATGACTACCTGCCATTTCATGGTGCCATTTTGCCGATTATAATTGTGAATGTCTTCTTTGTCGTGTTCGCCTTCCGACTTGGACCATGGCTGATGCGAAACCGCGAGCCTTTCAATCTCAAGCGCGTTCTTATAGCATATAATGTATGTCAAATTATATATAACGGAATAATGACGATTCTGGTGAGTATCAAACACAGCCCATATAATCCTCTTTAAATAATTGGATAATCGTCCAAATCTCTCTACGTTTTATTTTCCCTTTCTTTGGTCAAACAGGGTGTAATCTTACTATCGGAGTATATTGCAGACTTTGGTGGAATATCCTGCATCCGGCATTGGGGTATCGATCACCCGATGAAAAAATTTGAAATATTTTGCGGACTATTATACCTCAGCAACAAGTTTATCGATTATTTGGAAACGTTGTTTTTCATACTGCGGAAAAGCTATAAACAAGTAACGGTCCTGCACGTCTACCACCACATAATGATGACGACCTTCATATACCTCCACACAGTTTCGCAAGGTCTCGGCGGCCATGGAAGCACAATTGCCATACTCAACGCATTCGTCCACGTCGTAATGTATGTTTATTATCTGCTGAGCTCCATCGATCCGGAACGCAAGAAATCGTTGTGGTGGAAAAAGTATATCACACAAATGCAGCTGGCACAATTCGTAGTTGACTTCATCCATCAAAGTTGGCCACTAGTGGTAATGCGTGACTGTCCCGTTTCTAAGATTTGGCAAATCATAGCGGTAACACAGGCAGTGGTTATGATGTGGATGTTTGGCAACTTTTACTATAAGACCTACATTAGAAAGCCGAAGGACAAGAAGGAGACTGGAAAGCAATCATGAATGCGTTGTCCCAACTGGGTCAAACTCAGATGTTGGTTTACCGACACTACAATGCCTTGTAATTATTGGATTTTTTGTGATATTGCAATTAATTATATTTTTAAAAGAAATTATTAAAATTTTATAGAGAAGATTAAGGTGTTCCAAATCCTTGCCACATACTTAAATGTCAGTATCTAGCTCTGTACAAAATCTCTCGAAGTCAGCTGGACGTTGTTCGCTTCTACGTCGGTACTAGGATATTGTCTTCTACGGTCTAGTTCACTTGATTCGCGGAAATAATTTTTATGAAAGAAAAACTTGATTACAACAACTCTATTACTATAAAGTTGTACACATATCGAAATATTATTTTAGTTAACGGTATTTCGTAAAAAGCACAGTTATTGTAATCAGCAATTTTTATCATAAGAAAACCGGTCTGTTTGTATAGAGCAAGAAGCCTGTGCTAAACCATTTAGTTCCGCTATTACATATTTGTTTATATGTATGTGTGTGTGTATATTCATCTACACATTTCAAATAAGTTACGTGTGTATATGCATAAATATATATATATATATTTATCTAAATTAATGCGCGCTAGCAGCGACGTGGCAAACTAAAATTAGCATTTAATATCATTTAAATAAAACAACAACGACACCAAAAGCCGATACTCAACAAATAGAAAAAGATTTGCACACAAAAAGCGCACAGGCGAAACCCCAATATGTAGGTGCTAAAATTTTATAGATTTGCTGAAAATGCAAAACCACGATTCGGACATAAACAATAAACCCACTCGCGTACACACACGCCACAACCAAACGCTAGACGTCAGACAAATGGGAAGAACACTTTTGGAGGTGTTAATGACGTCAGTGAAGAAAATTTCTGCTCAATGAAAATGCTGCAAAGCTGAAGCCATTACACAACATGGATACGCAAATAACTTAAGTGATCACAGACTAAATTTAAGATCATTAATGACGCCATGACCGCTTTACACACACACAACCTTATATACATACATAAGTACATATGAGTGTATCTATTGTATGTTTGTAAATATAAGAAAATGCACTCAACACTTTTGCTGAGCGTGGGAAACGCGCAAAGCTAGACCAGAGTCACGTTCTTCTTCGTTTAATTGCACACCCACATACATACATACATACATAAAAGTAAACTTCATGCGCAATACTGCATAGAAATAAAAGTGATGTTTGAATTTAGTACGCTAGCGAAACCAAAAGTCAAAAGATCAACCACGTCATTTTTCGAAGACATCTTACAATTTCCCTTCCTGCCGGCAAGCGAACACCTGCCCACGTGTGCGTGAATTGATTTTATTGTGTTTATTTTGCGCGTAAATTCATCAACACAAATGTTCTTCCCCAAAACCATGCTGTAGTCCAATAAACCGAAGCTGAAAAATTTTTTCATTTATTTTCCTATTCATTTCTTAATATATATGTATGCGAAATACAATAACCTATTATATTCGTTTTTTTGTACACACATACATACCAATGCATATGACTTTTGATAAGTAGTGTTACTCATACGCCGCGTATGCTTGTGGTTCTATTTATTTTAAATGCCAATAATACATGTATAATCTGTTTGATATTATTTACATTTAACGTATGAACGATGCGGACAAGATATCTAAATAAACACACACATATATCTACATACAAATTTTGTATAGTATTATATTGTATGTACAAATGTATACATAATAATCTAATTTAGCTTACTGGGTGTATGAATCAATTTGTGGATGAATTTTTCGGCACTTAATTAAATATATATTATATTTATTTATATATGCCCATACGTTTGTTTATGTGTGCTTAATTGACCTGCCTTCGTTTTGCTTTATTGCACACGGTTGTGCGTAAATTTAAACTAATACATGTGCACAATTCTGACTTTAGTTATATGCATGTATGCAAATTTGTTTTTGTATTTGAGGCTTTTGAAAAAACGTATACTTAATTTGCTATGGGTGTCTTCCATTACATTTGGATTATTTTGGGCGTTAATTTCGCTTTCATAAAATTTGAAATTGAATTTGGTTGAGTTGATTAATACGAGCATATTTTGGCTCCATAAAAGTATATACTACACCTAATATTTGTAACAAAATAAAAATGAATTAGCACTTGCCTTAAACCAGGTTTCCAAATGGGTAACAAAAGCATATACACTCTTTATAAGACAACTAAACTAATATTTTAGCTTATACTATTTATTCTTTATAATTATTTATAAATGCAACAAATCGTGGATGTAAAAGTGAGAAATCAAAAAAAATTTCAAAATTTAAATTCGTTTATTCCAAACAATTGATACCCGCACTGCATTATCGACACATGAACTCAAAGATTCACAATAAATTTTACTACAGCAATATTTAAAACAAAATATATCTCAATTCGTATAGAAATATTTTCCATGTGTATCAGCTCAATTGGTTTCATATTTCAGACCTTAATTAAAGTTTAATAATTATTAGTAAAATTTGATATCATATTTTTCACACTTTTTCCTCAACACCAGAGAACGTATATTATATGATATACGTATATTATATGATATACGTTCTCTGTCAACACCATTTTATCGTAAGCTAACTAAACACATCCAACAAAAATTGACATTTACCAGAGAACGTATATACGTTCTCTGTTAAAACTCACTACATTGCAAGAAAAATAGAACACTATTGCTACATTGTTTATTCCGGCAAGCAGGTGTGAATAAAACTAGTTTAAAATCGCCAATCAAGTAGGAATATCATAAAAAAATGGCTACGAAAGTTTCATCAAGCAATAATAAAGTCTTCCAAGCGGTAAGTAGCGCATGCAAGTCACTATTAACTGCAAATACAATAAAAACTAACCTCACCCTGGAGCCGGACACAGTATTGGTCAGATTACTCACGTTTTTATTGAATGTTTTTTTGATTTTACAGGACGATGTTCACATCTCGTTTGAAGACCAACAGAAAATCAATCGTTTTGCTAAGCATAATGCTCGAATGGATGATCTCAAAATGGAATTGGACATGAAAAAGAACGATTTAAAGAGTGTCGAGGAGGCGCTGGATGAAATCGAGCTTTTCGACGAAGACGAAGAAATACCATTCTTGTTTGGTGAAGTTTTTCTTACACACAAATTAACAAAAACACAGGTATAAATAATATAAAAATTTGAAAAATTTATAAATTAACTAAAAAATATGTATACCTTATTAGGAATTATTGGCTGAGGTTAAAGAACAAACATTAAAAGAAATTGCGGCAATTGAAGTGAAAGCAAATGAGATCAAAGCCGAAATGAATGAACTAAAATCACATCTATATCAACGTTTTGGCAGCAATATATCGTTGGAGAGCGAGGATTAGCTTGTGTAAAATTGTAACAGTCAATAATTATTAAGGCATTGATATTGATTCACATAATGTCGAACTTATTATTCGCCATAAAATAATACAATATCAAAATTAAATTAAATATTTACAACATAAACCTATTCAGTCTGACTGCCAAAAATGAACATGAGATTGTCGCTAGCATTTTCCAGGCAAGCGGCCTAAAAATATACATGTTTAATATATTATATAAACATATGATATAAAAAATGGGGATACCTCCAAGAAATATGTGTCAAAAGGTGCCTTGTAATGTTTCCAATTTGTTAATGCATTTATGTTGCGATTGCTTCTTTGTGTTTCCAATGTCAAGTTCTGTAAAAAAAATTCCTTTTTTTGACAAAACTAAAATTTCACGATTGTATACACTACTACCTCTCCATCACCATTGCAATTGCAATTTAAATTTTCGTGAGTTTGACATATCGAATAATCTTCTTGCAAACAGAACAAATTCGACAGATCCTCAGCTGAAAACTTCATGATATCTTCATTATTCTTTGCAATATTTTGTATTACACAATCACCCAGGGATAACTTCGCTGTCTGCCTTTGAAATATTTTCTCTTCAATACAACCAGCTGTTACCAGTCGATAGATGTGTACATCCCTGGTCTGACCATCACGCCATATACGTGATATTGCTTGTGCATCAATAGCGGGATTCCAGTCATTATCGAAAAGTATTAACCTTGATGCGCCTATCAAATTGAGACCAACGCCACCAGCTTTTGCGCTAAGTAAAAACACTAGAGAGTCATCTGAATCGCTGTTGAACTTTTCGACATTATCATTCCTTTCTCCTACACTGGTGGAACCATCAAACCGTAAGCATTTTATATTCAGAAAATCACATAAACCTTGTAGCATGTTTAGCGTTTTGGTATGATTTGAAACTAGCACACACTTTTCTCCATTTTGTATTGCTGAGGCAATAAGGAAATGTTGCACCAGGTCTAATTTCGACGAATCGAAGGGTCCCATTTCCGTACAATCTGGCAAACAGCGCTCTAAAGTGCGAGTCAGTAGATTCGGTGTTTTTGTACGTGCGACCAAGGAAGGATGGTTGCAAATCTTTTTCAAAACGGTAATTATTTGCAATGGGGTTAAATCTTTCAAAATTGTTTCCTTACGTTGTGTATATAGATGAAGAGCTTTTTGCAACAAGAATTGTTGAAGTTCCGATGGTTGAACGAAGCAAATATACTCATACTTTCTCGGCAAGTATTGCCCATTCACGTTTTGTAATCGTCGAAGCATAAACGTCTCAGAGATCTGTATAAGCTCCCTGGTGCGTTCAGCAGCTAAATTCCTTACATCCGTAGAAGCTTCAGGGCTTTGGCTCTGTTGCAAAGGAATCTCGAAATGCAAATGAAATTCTTCATAATTGCCAAATATGCCTGGATTAACAAATTCTACTAGTGAGTAGAATTCGCGCAAATCGTTTTGCACGGGTGTTCCAGTTATTATTACTCGACGTGGAATATTCAGCTCACGAAGGGCAGCTACTACTTTAGTTGATTCATTTTTCAATCGATGACCTTCATCGCAAACTAGCATGTCGAATTTTAAGGACTGGAATTCAGCAACATTTGCAAGCAGAAATTCATAAGAAGCAATTACAAATGGAACATGTTGTTGCTTAGAATAAGAACACAACTTTTGCTTTCCTCCTACTACATAAGCATACATACGTTCACATTTCAACCATTTATTCACTTCGTTTTCCCAATTACGTGTCAGACTACTGGGAGTGGCAATAAGAACTCGATGTAATTCTCTTTCACCGCCATAAGGTCCTCCTTTTAATAATGTGTGCGCAAGTGTTAGGCATTGCAGAGTTTTTCCCAACCCCATTTCATCGGCAAGAATGCATCCACGATATTTTGGATTGTAAAAACCCATAACGCATTTATAAAGAAATGATACGCCATCTTTTTGATGTGGGCGTAAAAGTTGGGCTAGTCTGTATGAGACTTCCACCGGATGAATGGGTAGATTTGCAGGATTTAAATCACCAATATAATTTTCAGGAGGAGAAGGTAAAATGAAGCCGTTGGTTTTTGTGATCCGCCTGTTTTCACGTTTTGTGAATATATTTGTTTTGTCTTCGTTTAATTTTTGGGGATGATTGTTGGTCGCCACTTCTAATATCTCAATTTCCTTATCTTCTATCAACAATATGGATCCTGGCACCAAATCAGACAAGTTAACGTTTTCCTCTATACCCAACTCCTGCCCTTTTTCATCTTTTAGTACACCTCTCTTGACATGAGAATCAACATCAAATACTCCATCTCCATTCCAGATCTTATTTTTCTTAGTGGTTTTTTCGCGCCAAACGACATTAAATGATAACTTCCTAGTCACAGCTAACTTATTATCTTGAACGTTATTAGTTTGATTGATTTTATCATTTAATATATCATTCTTCAGATTGCATGGGGTTTGGAATAGTGTAGATATCTTCAACATTTTGCTCGCTTCCTTACTTTGCACTTTCTCCTCAGAATTCCAACGATCCTCAGCATATTGTTTTTTTATAGCAAAGTATTGGTCACCATCGGTTATTTGTTCCAGCAATTCAATCTCTTTGCCTCCTACAATCATTTGATATCCTTCTTCCAAATTATCATTTTCAAACTTTGTATTAGTACCCATATACCTCCCGGTGCTATCCTTAAGAACAGCCCGGGGGGGGTTCAGTTGAACTTCTAGTAAACCATCTCCGTCCCATGTTTTATGCTTCTTTTTCGTTATTTCGCGCCAGACCACATTGAAAATAATTTTGGAATTATTCTCTTTGGTTGTTCGCTCTTCGAATTGAGTGCTTCTATTCCTCGATGTGCCCCAACTTTCTTCATTCAGAGAGGTCGAACTTATTTCATCATCTCCGTGCTCATCTTTTTCAAATAGTTTATCAATTTTTCTACGTTTTTCGATTTCCCGCACTTTTAGCATTGAAGGTGCACAAGACCTCCTCATTTTAAAATTTAACAAGAAAGGAAATTGAACTTAAACAATGTAATATTTTGAACCAAAAAATAAAAGTTATGCATCCACCTGGAGAAGAATAGTTTTCAAAAAGTGCATACGAAAGTATATAAACAAAAACACCATAGACCCAAATGGTAAAAAGATCCCTTGCCAGACTTTAGCATTGATCAGTCGAACTCTAAAATCTAAAAATGATATAAGAATGAGAATAAAAATTCTACTTGGTATTAATTATATATACTCAGAAAAAGGTTAATTTTATAACATATGGTTACATATTTTACGAACAAAAACAAATTCAAATACATTTAATACTATTGGTCTTATGGGTTGAATTATGTCGAATAGGAACTCAGTGTTATAATTAACAGTTGTAAAGGGAATTTGGCAACCCTACACGTGTTTTTATCTGTATTTCTTATGCCTTTTTACCCACTTATTTACTATTCTATTGCCCTCAGTGAAGCCAAGTTAAACACCTAGCCGAGAGGTTGCGTTGGATTTTTTAAATTTTCACTAAAATTAAAGCTAATCTACATTAAAATGGTGAGTTTTAAATTCAGGTAGTGTGTGATAGATCTATTACTCAAAAATTATAAATTTCAGACCGAAGAAGTCAGTCCAAAAGCATTCCCACTTGCTGATGCTCAACTCACAGCGAAAATTATGAACTTGTTGCAGCAAGCCCTAAACTATAATCAACTACGCAAGGGAGCCAACGAAGCCACCAAGACCCTTAATCGGGGACTTTCCGATATTATTGTAATGGCTGCTGACACAGAACCAATCGAAATACTTTTGCATTTACCCTTATTGTGTGAAGATAAGAATGTCCCCTACGTGTTTGTACGTTCTAAGCAGGCATTGGGACGTGCGTGTGGCGTATCCAGACCAATTGTAGCGTGCTCGGTTACTACAAATGATGGCTCACAGCTAAAATCGCAGATCCAATCAATTCAACATGAAATTGAAAGACTCCTAGTTTAATGTGATAAACTATGTATTCAAGTTAAGATGTATAAATAAAATATATTTTGTGAATTAAAAATAACTCTCATAAAATGAATTGGGTCGGCTTTAGTATACCGTCCCAGGCTTTTGGAGATAAAATGGGTATGGGCGGATAGAGGAGATCCTCCAGATCAAGAATATATATAACTTATAGTTTTCGAGATATTTACGTTTAAAGTTGAAAATTTTAACTATTTAAAGTACGTATATTTTCGATTTAAAATGAATGAAATGAACTTATATTTTTCCCTTTTATATCCCCTAACACTTCACTAATTCGTTTATATATATTACTACCAAGAAAATGTTAATAGTATTAGTTAATTAAAATTTGTGAAAAGTCATCATAATCGTTTAGAAATTATTTAGAATAACAACTAACGCTTTATATCGATATATATATTACACACTTTTATCGTCAACGAGTTTGTAATCATAAAAGTTGTCGCTAATCTTAGAGAACATTGGCAGCCCTATTGAATTAAAAAAATTTTCCCGCTAGAGGTCGTTCGATATTGTCATTGTATGTTTCTTTTTACCTATTCTTCGCAAAGAAAAGACGACGTTTAAGCTTTGTCAGCACGTTATTTGTACGTCAATCTATCGTGAAACATTTGAAAATATTCTCCAAACAGCGATAAACTTACTTTCAGAATGGCGCAATTCGATTTAACAAGAATTAATTGTCAATTTTTGGACAGGCATCTTACTTTCCCACTGTTGGAATTCTTGTGCGGAAAGGAGGTTAGAAAAATTTCGTTCGCTTCGTTGTCACTTTCTGTATATGTTTTGAAATATATAATATTTCTTATTTTTATTATAGATATATAATCAACAAGAATTGTTGGAATACATCCTCGATACGGTCAACAAAACTAACATGATCGATTATACAATGGACACACGTAAACGTTTGAACCTAAGTCAAGAAATGCCGGAAGAGTTGGTGCAACGCAAAGCTGAGGTGCTGGCTACACTGAAGCAATTGCAAAATGAAGTAGCACCTATTATGAAAGCTACCGACATTCTTAAGAATGGTGAGAGCATGAAAGACTCCAAAACTTTTGTTAATGCTCTGCAAAAGGACTACAACTTTAAGGTGGAACATTTGGAAAGTGCATACAAGCTGGCTAAATATTTGTATGAGTGCGGTAACTACCAAGAATCGACATCCTACTTATATTTCTGCTTGATTGTGATGTCGCCAAACGATAAGGTATATTGTTATACGAAAATTTATGAATACGGCTGTAAAATATTAAATTTGTATGTGTTTATTTATAGAACTACCTAAATGTATTATGGGGAAAATTGGCAGCCGAAATTTTGACCTTAAATTGGAACACAGCATTGGAAGATTTGACTCGTTTGCGCGACTACATCGACAATGCCAATTTTACTACAATACAAGCACTTCAACAGCGGACTTGGCTGATCCATTGGTCAGTGTTGGTATTCTTCAATCATCCCAAAGGTCGCGACCTTATTATTGACATGTTCCTGTATAAGCCTTTATATTTGAATGCTATACAAACAATGTGCCCACACATTATGCGCTATTTGGCTACTGCTGTCATCATTAATCGTACACGTCGCAACGCACTTAAAGACCTCATCAAGGTGATCCAGCAAGAATCATACACCTACCGTGACCCTATAACAGAGTTTCTTGAATGTCTTTATGTGAACTTTGATTTTGAAGGTGCTCGTTTAAAACTGCACGAATGTCAAACAGTGATTTTAAATGACTTCTTCATTGTTGCCTGTTTGAGTGAATTCGTCGAGGACGCTCGTCTAATGATCTTCGAAACTTTCTGCCGTATTCATCAGTGCATCACGATTAGTATGCTTGCTGACAAGTTGAACATGAAACCTAGCGAAGCTGAATGTTGGATTGTTAACTTAATTCGCAATGCTCGTTTGAATGCAAAAATTGACTCAAAATTAGGACACGTTGTTATGGGCACTCAACCTCTGAGTCCCTACCAGCAACTGGTAGAAAAAATTGACTCATTGTCTATGCGTTCAGAACATTTGGCTGGATTAATCGAGCGTAAAAGTAAGCAAAAGAACCCCGAATCGACCGATTCATGGAAATATTATTGAATATAATCGAATCAAAGTATAACACAAACGAATTACAATTACAAACTAAGAGGTTGGATTTGCTTGCTAGTGTTCAGAAGGAGTAATATTTAATACAGCATAGAAAATGTATAATATAAATTTTTGTATAAACTACGTAAAAACCAAAAAGGCTAGAATAAAACAACATCTATTATTCGGGCTGCAAACTAAGGTGTTCTTTTTTTTTTAATTCTCCAAAATGGCTACAAATATCTTGTGTAGGCATTTACATCAAATCTTAAGCTTTTTTCCTTTTTATATAAATACAAGTTTTGCAGTATTTTATTTTAATTAATATTAATATTAAGACAAGACAAACATCAATTTAGATAATTCTATTTACTCTCACAAAGTTTGTGCCATAGATAGCAACAAGTTTTTGAAAGCAAGTCGATTGTATTGTACCACTGGTTAAACAAATGCATACCTTACAACTAAAATTCAATTGCACTGTTCTCACATACATATAAAAGCATTTCATTGGAATTTTTAAACAGAAATTGTATTATTTTAATTCTATACTAAATCAAAACTAAAGAGAATAGCAAATTGTGTCTTAAATCGACGGAGCATGTATATTCCGCACAGTTTCAATATCCACGTCTAACTCTTCTACCGCATCAACCTTAAGGTCATCCAACAGGTAGGTGTGACCCACATCCTCCTTATGTCATACAATGAATTGCTATCTTGACTTTTTGGCACCGCCACCACTCTTTCCCTTTTTAACAACCAACCAGCTTCGTGTGGGCAAACTTTGCAAATAGTTTATCCAACGCCGCACACACAACAACCACACAATACCATATATTATACATATAATCGATTCAATGTAGTAGCCATCGAAGACAATTTTACATTCACCACCAGCGGCCTCGCATTCCTAATTAAACAACATTTATTAATAATGGCACATAAATATACTTCAAATAGACTTACAGATTTTTGAGTCTTTGTCAGACAACTATTTTGTGCTGCCACTTCTGGGTCGACATGGGTACATTCTTGCCATGTTAGCACATCCACCAACCACAAAACTACAGTGTTTGGCCAGTTTCCTCCCAGATTCGACAGTGTGTTGAGGAATGTCATGTATGTACCACCTACTGCAGGATCGGAAATTTTCGCGAAAAATGCCATTACAGCTACAAACATGCAGTAGAGGAACACCTGGTACAAAGCGTAATTAACAATTAAGAGCACATAGTAGTAGATGGGTACATAACCGTTCGAAATCATAAAAGGTGTGCAATAAGTAATGATGGCCGCTAATGTACTAAAGACAATTCGATACGGTATGGCTTTCACATATATATCCATGGGGCGTGGTCCGTGTGTATAACGGCTGACAATTAGTGGCAACACTATTTGCAATGGGATTATGGGCACAACCAACAGTGCCAACTTCTCTTTTGGCACGCCAGCATCGATTAATTTTAATGATGTGACTGCATCACAGGCAGCAAAAGTAACTTTGACGGTTAACAAAATGGCGGCTAAAATTTGTATGGGGCGCATGCGTACCATGTCGTAGAGAATCTTGTAGCTCTCGCGTAGGTTCAACTCGTGTTCATCGGTGTAACGTGCCGCCGTATGTGCATCTTGTACATCATTCTCCTTTTTAAAGATCGCTACCAAAGTTGTCACTACCATGAAACAAATGCCCCAGAACCATAAAAAATCTGGCAATATTACAAGACCTTTATCCAACGGTTCTGTGCGTAGATAGTTGTTGCAAAAGTCTTTTGATTCCAGCGCTATAAAGACCACATAGCCCAGAAAGTAACCAGCGGTTTGGCCAACACTATTGCATGTCGACGCATAACCAACGTTGCATCGCTTCAACATAGTAAGCGCCCAACCATCAACAGCAATATCTTGAGTAGCGGCCAAAAAGTTAAGTAAGAAAAACAGCATGGTTAAGAATGGTACATTGGGATCAGCCCCATTACCACCTAACCATCGTTCTATTTGCCATGATAGAAAAAGCATAAAAATACCAATTAGATATTGCGATGGAACCAACCATGATTTTCGTCTGCCAAATCGGCGAACGTAGATGGAATCAACAATTGGCGCCCATAAAAGTTTCATACTAAACGGCCAATAAGCGAAGGAAAATTCGGCTTGCTGTTTATAACTAGCTCCACGATTCTGTAAAAGCATGGGAACGGCAGCAATCAGACCTAATGGTATACCTTGCATTACGTAGAGGAAGAAAAGTATGGCAATATTGCCGCGATCGCCGCGTATATCTGTTTTCTCATGGAATTCATCGTTTACATTCGATGGACAGTCCGACGGAGGCGTCTCGACCAACAATTGCTGCTTGTCATTGTCATCAGACGACATCCCATTCGTTTCCTGTCGGCGACGCACAGTCATATTTCTAAAAGTACGATTATTGTGATTAAAATTGTTAACACTTCTAATAACCTGCAATATTTACATTAATATTTTTTGAAATCGATCACAGCGACACGTCAGTAACTTTCTGCCTCTTTTACATGTATGCCCACTCTACAATGCATAGATTATAGGTTGGTGCATTTGTACTGCGTGTCAGTATTTATTCAATTGAAATTTACATAAAATTATTACAAGTTTTCATTATATGTAACTTAAACACACAAATATCGTCCGTCTATTCTTTGCGAAAATCTTTTCGGGATGTAATTCACAAAAATTTATAAATGTTAATATACCAAATCAATCTAAAACCGGAGTGACAACAAAAAAGAGCAAACCACAATTTACCAACAAATAATTTTATTCTTGTTTGTTTCGTACTCAAAATAGGGTCGCCTTTATCATAAGATTAGGAATGTTGCAATTCATAACCGATTACTTTGCAAAAACATATGCTTATTTATATCCAAGTGTGGGTACATATTTGGCCGAAATATAGATATTGTAACTTTTGTCCAAAATAATTATTGCATTAGCATAAATATGGAATTTCATATAGCACCTATATATGATACCTCGAAGTCACAATGGAGAATTTCTTACAGAAAAAAAGAGTAAGCTCTCAGTAGATATTTAGGTACGGTAACTCTAGCCGACAGCTGTTGTGCGGTCAGTTCAATCAATTATTTGTTTGCGCATTTGTTGCTAAATTATATTGTTAGCATGATATAAAGGTGTATATTTGTGCAAAATTAATCATTTAATTACCATGGTGTTATCTAAAATCATATCGGAGAGCGCTGCATTATCTGCTGTAAAATAGTAAGAGATACTGTGATGAGTACTTGTCTTCCTAAATACATACAAATATACATACTTACAAACGAAATAAATAGAATTTGAAGGGTTTACTCGAAATACTCGTGATCAATATAACGCCAAAGATGACGTCGTGCTAAACCGGTCGACAAAGGAAACAGGAGTTGCATGCATTATTTACTCTACGCAGGCAAAAAAATAACAACACTAATTAAGGTCGCTTCATGGCCATTTAATGCACTTTAGATTGAATATGCTGATAGTTAACGTTTGTTGCACGCAAAATGGTTCCGGGTCAACATGAAAAGCGCTTATTACTGCCGCAAAGGAGTCATCACAATCGCGAAATCACTGATATCTATTCCTCTGCTGAATTTGAATCCGCAGAGGTTGGTAATAGTGAAATGGATTGCAGTGATGAAGACCTTGAGTATAAGAGGACATTGCAGCAGTATTATGCGAAGCACGAGTTTTCTTTCATTCAAATAATGATGTCGGGATTGCGTTGGCGAAAACGTGCTGTAATACGTATATTATGTTGTACAATGGTATTGCTTTTAATGTTAATGTCATTTTACATGCCGCTTATTCCGAACATGCAAACACGACATAGTAAGTACTAGAGTATATTACAAATAAACTACAAAATATCACTAAAGTCCATAATATTAATATTTGTAAGATAAAATTATTTTATAATTACTTATTTTTTATATTTATTTCAGCTGCACTACCGGATTGGGACTTCAATACGTCTAGAAATTTAGCTGATTATGTGCTGCCTGACAACAAAACAGTGATTTTAGAACCTCAGCTTGGGTGTCAAAATAAGTTGTTTCTGCTTGTTGTAGTTTGTTCAAGTATGCAGAACTTTGCCATAAGGTTTGATATATGCAAAATATAGATATATAAATATACTCACATGCATAAATATATATTAATAAAAAAAATTACAATTCCAGACAAGTCATTCGTGAAACATGGGGCAACACATCACGCTTCAATATTGGCATGTTTACGAAACTACATAAGCGTTTTGAAGGTCAATACTTGCAACCGTCACCAGAACGCCTACATTACTATAGCAAATTCCTAAATCTATCAACAAATGTAAGTTCACTTAGTTTAATGTTAAAAATAATGGAATATTTTGACTATGTCCATTTTTTCGATTATTTGAAAATCACAGAACACATATACTATTCCTGATGTGATACCGATGAAAGTTTATTTTATGTTGGGTCGCAGTGCTGATTTGTCAAATGAAACATCATCACTTGTACGCTCAGAGTCCGAACAATACGGCGATATTATACAAGAGAATTTCATCGATACATATAACAATCTGACCCTCAAATCAGTGTTTGCTCTAAAATGGATGATTCAACGTTGCGCACAACATTCAGCATTTTTTATGAAAGTAGATGATGATACTTTCTTGAATGTGCCAAATCTGTTGCACTATCTACTAGGTGGCACTCTTCCGCTCTACAACGATACTTTGGATTTGTATGACACACACACCTACCATGTATTATCACCACGAAATCGCTTCAAGAGTACAAGAAATTACCTGGGAGGACATTTGTTTTGTTCCTCACGACCAGTTTCGCTGGTTAGCAATAAATGGTATATGCCATATTATATGTTTCCGGGCGATAAATATCCAAAGTACTTGAGTGGCTCCGCGTATGTTATGTCTGCGGACGTGGTACCACGATTATACCAAGCCGCTTTCAATACCACCTTCATACACATCGAAGATGTCTACTTAACAGGCATATGCGCTGAAAAAATTCACCTGCCCCGTCATCACAATGCACTATTTAGTTATACACGTGCCAGGGACTGGTGCAGTTTTCGTGGAAGCATCACACAACATGAAGTGAAAGATGAGAGTATGTTGGATGCATATTTATATGTGACCAATACGAGCTTGTATTGCGCACCTCCTGCTAAATATATGAATAAGCGCTTACATAAGCAAATCGGCTGTGTTTGAGTATATGAAAAATGAGACTGTCATTGCGAATGTTATATTATGTTTTTGGTATATTTCGATTATTGTCATATTTTAATACTCTTTAGTTATCTTTATTTTGTTTTTTGTTTTGTTTTCACATATGCACCACCGTTAAGAATGTGCTTCGCATTAGATTAAGTTGAAGAAAAAGTGCGCAACTATATACACATGTATTTATATATAAGGAGTTATTATATTTAAGTATTTAAAAGCTACATATTATTTTAAAGATATTTTAAATTTGCTCTTAACTGTATTATATGAAATCTGCTACAAAACCATTTCGCACAAGTTAAGAAAGTAAGCAAACAAATAGTACACACAAGAGCAAAATCAGTTTATTATTTTAAGTATTTATACATGTATGTGTGCATGTATCTAAACTAACCTATGCATGTCTCATTACACGATTAGGCTTAATGATAACACCTTGACATTATTTCAAATTCCATGTAACTGATAACATTTATGAAAAAGTTTTCACTAAAGGTTATCAAACTATTCCTATGGATTAAGCGAAAGTCTGTCATTGCTTAACAGTTGGAAACTGAAAGTTCTATTCATAAAATACGAAATTATAAATGCATGGAAACATATCTTGATAAAAAGTGTATTATGTCGACTTGGTATAATTTCGTTGCCGTCGTTTTACATTTATAGTTTGTGAATTCACCGAATTCGATCTGTATATTTGATATACTAATATTATTAACTAAATATGTTAACGAGATTCACTGGCCAGATATTTCGTATAAGCAAGCATGTATGTATATACTTATATATAATTATATACAATTGAAAAACAAAAACAAATTCGGATTGATTGATTTGTAGTCCATTTTAAAATAATAATTGTGATTTTCCAGCCATCTATAGATTTGAATTAAGCGATACTCTATAAAGTACTTAAAAAACTAAAATTAGAAACACAAGTAGACGACTATATATTTCTAAATATTATAATAAGCGGTTCTCATTAAGCGATTTAATATACCGTAATTAAAAAGTCTCACAATATCGATGATTTAAATTTACCGATTTCTTTATATATTGTTTTTAAATATTATGCGCAAACAAATACTGACGACACTATGTTCCGTGTATCACACCCTATGGGCCTTAAGGCCTGCACAGGTCTCAAGATGGCTCCATCCATTGCATGTGTTGCACCTAATGGAAATCGGATCGAGTCTTTTGGCGCAAACGCAACAGAAATATTCCTTAATGCTCAGGTTAGACGCCATGCCAGCACGGGTCAGGAGGATGCGAAGCAACCCTGTTGCTAGGAGTTGCGCCAATGACGACAATGAAAAAACGCAAATCAATTACGTAGAACCGGCTGTCTTGGAAATTGCCCTAAATTGTCCAAAAGCTTTTTCATAATAATTGTTCAATAAACGTTTCTCCATACATATCTACAGTTTAAACCGCCATTTTTGAGCACGAACGTCGTTTCGCTAAGCTTCCAGGCCACATGTTGTTATACTAACTCAATTTTTGCGCCGTTATGCTCCTGACATTTAAAACTGTTTATAAACAATTTCATTTCGAAAGACTTTTTTCACATTCTATTGTTAGTAAATATTTTTAAAATATTTAGTGCACATCCATTTAAAAATAATACAAATTTCTCAAAAGCTAGAATATTCTATAACTCACTGTTTGTTTAAGTTGTAAAATTTAATAACTACGTAAGTGAAAGTATTATACACAATTAAGTAACTGTATGTTTCTTTGTAATTTCACAAGTAAATAGTCTAGATATCTACATATTATATTTATTAATATGTACATGGGTAAACGAAATAATTCACATAAATATTGCCATACTTTTCAATGCAACTGTGCCAATCAGCATTGTTTAATATTCTCTTATAACTATATATTTACACTCAATATACTAAACATTTGAAATATGCGTTTTTGTTAAAAATTATTTAAAATAGATTTGTTAAATAAAACACCAGAAGACGCTGGATATTATTTCTTTTAATTAAGATGATATTATGGTAGACTAGCTAAAACGAATGTTAGTGTAATCCTTCTCGTAAATAAAATATTAGTTACCAACTGAGGTGTTCAGCCCAATCAAATATAGGCACGGAGCGAACTTGGTTTTTATTTATGAAGCTTATTAAATGATAATTCTAAAAAAATATGTTTATAAGAAAGCTCACATGAAAAAATCCATTTTAATTATTATAGCTTTAAGATTCTTGCTAGAGAGGCAAGAAGAACTAAAGGTGTTTAAGACGTTTTAACCGAAGTGGGTACTTTAGGCAAGCCAAACTCGTCAGTTTCAATTCCACTCTGTAAACATATTTTATATAAAATTCTTCTTCATTGTATAAATCTTTATACATACTTTACTGCCGGGTATAATACTATCGGCACCCGGTTCTTTATCAGGTGCTGATGGTGCTTTCACCATGTCATCCAAGTAGCTGGTATCATCATCGAGTGCTATTTCATCGCCTAGAGCATCCAATTCAGATTGCAGTTCATCATCGTCAACTTCTGGCATGCCATATGTACGTCCTAAAGCTTCTTGTACCTCGTCTGCTTGTTCTAGCATATCGGCCATATCGTCTTGGATATCCTTTAATGTCACATTCAAAAATATTTGTGGTGAAATAATTATGCTCGTGCATACCAAGTCGTACTCACCTCAATTTGGTCGATATTGACTTTCTTGAATTCCTTCTGCATTTGTTTGACACCATCCTTCATTGCAGATACAGTAGCTTGTGTGTCTTTTAGCGATTGTGCAGCATAATTTGCCTGCTCCATATTGAATGACTGATTACGTAGTGCTTCAACTTGCTGTTCATAACTAGAATTAAAATCACTGTGAATGCAAATGTTTTTTATAACTTATCAGAGGTTTTACGCCTTTTTTTGTTTCAGCACACGCATAGCTCGCTGCTTTACAGAGTTTTTAGCCGGTCCTTCGCGCATTTTCGACATTTGTTCGCGATATTTACGCAATTCATTATCCAGCTTTGTCACCTTCTCCTCGATGGAACTCGCACGAGAATCAACCTTCAAAGGATAAGTTCGATAATAATTAATACTTGTTTTGAAACAACAAATGCTTTTGTTTTGCACTGTGAAAACTTACCCCGGCGATGCAGTCGTTTAGATTTGGTGCTGGCTCCTTGGGCTTGCCTTTTCCGAACAGTCGATTCATTGTAATATTTGTTTTTAATTTAACTATAATATAGTGTTACTACAACTGTTCGAAATTAATCCAAATAAATTGTTTTTAGTAAATATTTCAGCTGATGACTAATCCTTATATTGAATGGTGACAGTTCAATATGCAATGGTACTCAAAGTGTTGGTGCTTACAAATAAATAATGGCATTGCCATTTCAGTAATAAAGTTTTTATAAATTATAAAGTTTGTTTCTAATATTTTGCAAAAATTATTAGCGTATGTGTTTAAATTAAAAACAGATATATTTTTCAAATAAATATATCAAGTACTTTCACAAGGAGCACTTAAAACATATGAGCATATACCTAAATACTAGTATATGTATGAACATACTGCAATATTTGACAGAACTGGAAACCGCTTTAATATCTACCTATTTGGACACCAGGGAATTAATGCAAAGGGTGTAAAGTTAAAACTAAATTTCCACTACCCAAATAAAGTGGATGTAGCTGTGAATTTATGTAATCCAAGAAGTGATCTATTGTTACGCTTGTAGAGGATGGTGTTTTGTTTCTTTTTTTTATGTGGAAATGGATCACATCAAATTATAAGTTAAACGATGAGGGCGTCGCTCAAACACTTTGATCTGTCAAGATACTTACATATTGTAAGTTCCTGACAAATGGCTTGGTAGCAAATTCCTTTCTAGAGCCATACAAGTATTTTCGCGGTTATGCAGCATTCCAGTATGCAAAGAAAAAAATGCATGCCAATTAAAATTTTTCGATAAGATTGCCGCACAAATTTGCGTGCCATATGATTGCATTTGCTTTTTGGAAGTTAATTTACAGTGTGTTTGAGAGATCACATCACTTTGGCTATTTTAAATGGATTTATTTGAATAGTTTGTTAGCTAATGTAATTAAATTTTTAATTAAAAATAAATATATGCGCGTGATATATGACGAATCGGATTAAGTCTGAGGTTAGAGGCTGATGGGACACCGTAAACAACTCCGAGCGCACTAGTTGTATGTCTCAATCAAAACGGTAATCCCAGTGGGATATTCTATTAATATTATAGTATTTAAATTATATATACTTAAGTACGCAAGCAAAATAACCAAACTTTAAATATCCATTTTGAAGAAGTGATGCACAAGGTATTTGTTGGGATACTGTGAATATTCGTATGTACTTATTCTGTTTGTACACATGTATGTTAATTTTTATATGTGCATACATACATATATGCATATGCATATTAAAAAGTTCTTCGGCTGCTCGATTAATTTTCAACTTTGAGCAAACTGTGTTTGAAATAATGGATTTGTTGATGACGGAATCGGTTGATGGCTAATGGCATCACATGACACTTAAAAGTTGGCCAAAGGCTGCTTACATTTCCCATTCAATTCAGAAAACAATAGAAATGTTTGTATGTCAGATGCTATTTTTCAGATTGTGAAGATTTCTGAATGCCCGCCTAAAAAGAAAAGTCTGAAGATATATGGTATACATGTATGTATGCCTGCAGTGTCTGACACTCGATAAAAGTTATGTTTTTCATTAATACATAATTCACACTTTCATTGATTTCAGTATTTATTTCACCCCCCTATGGGCATAGATAAATTGTGCTCTGTTGAGAGATGAATATTTCTTTTCACTCGTGCTGCTGTAATATGATTTTGATTAATTTACGTTGGCATAAACATACTTTTGTTGAGCAAAAGTTCCTCATAAAAGCGTAACCTTAAAATTTATGTATAGGTATGAATATGTGTTACTTGAATTATTTCAATTCCTATTAAGTGAAATTTTTGATTCGGTGAAACTGAAAAATATTAATTTTAAGCATTTTGGAAAATAAATGTTTTAATTACAACATTGAGACTGCCCAATAACATAGTTATTTCTAAAATAGTGCAATAATATGAATTCAATTAATATGAATTCAATTCAAAATCATATACATATGTACATACACGTATATACTGTCAGCAATATCTATTAGGCAGCTGATACTGTCATTTTATCCGAGTGTACTTTCCCTAATAACTCTGACACTACCAACAACTTCTTGAGACTAATATTTTATAGTTAGAACAAATAAACCAACAAAACAATATCGATCAGATGGGTTAAGAGCCCAAAAGTAGGCTTCAAACTTACGACACACCGACTAGCGGCCATTTACCATAAAACTGATAGCATTTACTTTCTGTAACCAGCAAATACATCTATTACATATGTACTTATATACAGAATTGTAATGTCTGAATTTTCGGTAGACGGCAAACTGCTATAGACAACGTCTGGTACTTCCTCATAAATAGTGAACTGCAGTTAATCTTTTAAATAGTTACTGTCAAACTGAAAAGAGTGATCGATCACATTTCCCATGAGCTGAACAAACACATTCATACACAATACATACATATGTACATACGCATAGGCATGGGTGTGGCTGAGTAACGGAAGAGCTGTATAGGGCACGATTTGGGAACAAGACGGGGGTTGGACTTAATGCAGATGCTTATGTTGTATGTGTAGGCCATAAAATGAAATTCCAATTTGCCTTTTAAAATCCACTCAATGTGTGCACTTAAACAAATATGCAGTATGCCACATTTATTTCAAGGAGTAAATTGTTGCTTTCCTCATGCATGTGCCCGTCGTTTGTATGTGTGTGTGCATGTATTTAGGCTTACATTGATGAACAGAAGTTGTAATGAAAAAGTGCTCCCTGCTGTGTACTCGCGTGACTTGTTGAAATACGATGAGCATACTCGTACATATGTACGTATTTGTATATTTGGTAGGTGCACGTACGCATCTGACACACGTACGTATGTATGTGTGCAACATCCCTTGACAATGGCAATTCCAATATTTTTATTTTTTACTTTGAAATGGGTGTACAGATGTCGGTGCGTCCAATTCATGCGGTTGCAATGACTTGTCCGAAGTGCACACCAGCGCCGTTGCCTCGGTGGTTGAGTATTTGACATGTGGGATTATTTTCCACAAAATTAATGCGCCTTTCGAAACGCACTCGATTATGCTGAAAGTGCGTGTGCAACGGTTGGTCCTAACACCCTAACTTGAGTAGCATATTTTTGTTTTTGATCATCACCGTCTGCTGTCCCGTTTGTCAGTTATTCCGAATAAGCAAGACATGCGTGCTTAAAATCATCTCGTGCCGCATCTCTCTTTTACGGGCGTCCTTGTCGTGTCGAGCGTGTTGCCAACCCCAAAAGACAATCAATATCCCTACGACACCGTCCACACATCCGCATTGTTTGCACTTTGGGCTGCGTCATTTGGCGCGTGCACGGGGCAAGGGTGTGCGCAAGCGTAGCATTGCATGGTGGCGGGTTTATCAAAATTATATTTTTTTACGATAATTTTCAAGTTAATGAATATTTGTGATGTCAACAACAAGTTAGTCAACAAAAGTCGCATGCTACAAAATATAAAATTTTAATTGTAATTTAAGTTTTTCATACTTGTATGATGTACGCGTTAGACTTACGGCAATCATGTGTCGTATTTTTCGTAAAATATGTTCTTTTTTATAAAACCGTCATAAAAGTGTCATTTAAACAGTATATTGGGTGATTTTATTGACACTATAAAAGTTTATACAGACCATAAATAAGTGTCGCGGCATGAAATCGTTAGACCAAAATTGATTTTGCAAGTATTACTGCTTAAATTAATTTTTGTTGTATTGAATTGCTTGAGGCTCTTCAAATTAAAAAATAGAAAAAAATCTCTTAAACTATATATGTATTAAATATGAGCGCGACGGAGCAGGAGAGCGCGTTCTCAAGTGTACAAAGTGTTAAAATATCCTAAGGCCAGCGTCTGTCTTTTAAGTGGCCGTATGCCTAAAATCTAACGGGGATAAAAACACTTTTTGTTATTTTTAGATTTCAATGGATGACATCGACTACTACTGGGGTTAATCTGCGGTTTCCCCTTTTTATTTGTATTTTAACCGTGTCGCCCTATTCACTCCAAAGTCATTCATGTCAATCACCATTTTTAATTATTCAGCCATGGCACTGCAGGCTGCCCGAAAGCTCACTGTCAAGCATTTGTCCGCTGTTAGCCGCTGGCAAATTTGGTAGATGTGCAAACAGTCACATATGCACGAATTAATCACATTTGAGTAATTCGATCAGGCAATGGTGTCGGTACTGCGTAGAGGATATTTAGTAGAAGAAATGAGGTGCAAAAATACAAATGCATTTTGGTGTATTTTTTTATTAAAAAAATAATTGCATGGTCTTATTTTTGCTGTTTTTTCGTGCTTATTTGAGCGTCTTTCAAAAAAATTTTTTTTTATTTTAAAACAAATTCCCTTGCCTAGAACAAAATTGTATAACACTTAATTCGGTTTGAAAATAATGTTTTTTTTGTAATTTTTTACACGATTTTATTCCATTTAGTACGATTAATAACTTTTTGTGTTTACATTCATATCACGAATTAGAGAGCATTTTTGTGGATACAAGCAGGTTTACGGGTCAGAGCAATTGTAAATAACACAAATTTAGGGAAATGAACAATGTCTTTTTTACACGTTTTTTCTAAAACCAATCTACCGTTTAAAAAAAAATTAGTTCTATAACTGGTAGCCACTCTCTCCCTCTCTACAGACATATATTTATAAAGAGTTCCTTGATGCTTATTCAACTTTTAAGTATTTAATGTTAACCCAACACACTGTCTTCTTCTTTTACATCACATACTTATGCTCCGAAGATACTACCCTACAAAGTTATTAATTACATCTAAACAAAGCAACAAAATTTTATGTAAGGAAGTGACAGACATGGGTCCAAAGCGATTTAAGGCCCGATATCAACATGTCTTTCTAAGCGTTAAAAGATATTGAGCAGACGTATTGGTGATTTTAAGTTGGGCAACATGCCACACTTACATATTTCATGTTCATTGGCTTCCGTTTGCTGCTGCTTCCATTAATTTCAATACGCTTCCTTTTGTTTACTTTTGACAATTATCTCAGTTTTAACTCCGACTTATAAGTAAAAAAAACAAACCTTTTGAATTCACACATTCAACATTGCACACTGCATATTTTAAAATTCTGAAAAATAATGCAAACATTTTCGAAACGTGACACAGTGACAACTTTAGCAGATTTTATACTGAAAAAGATATCCGACCATATAGATATGCGCATATATTTAATATGAATGCATGTCATTTGACCATGAGTTTAAATTTGTAGCATGTCCTTTAGCACGTCCAGCGTCACGCTTATATTTCTACATATTGTGGCTACTTGTTCTCTGACTCGTGCTTACAGGTAAGCCCCCTGTAGTGCGTGAGAATATTTCGTGTCCAGCAATTGTCAAGCCTAATTACGTTTGTTATTTGAATGCATTTCACATGTTCCGCGACTATTAAGGGTTTCCATATTTGCTATTGTTTTGGTGCACTCAAAAATACTGTAACACCCAAACGTTTAGGAAATCGCCTCACTTGTTGATAATGTTGGGTTCTTCAGGTCCGATCGAAACGTTAACTCTCTAATGACTGTACGTTGAAAGCGCTTGCGTTTACTATATTACAGGCGAGTTTCGCTGCCTTTAATTACGTTGAAAACGGGTCCTGGAGCTCGATTCAAAGAGTTGTGTTGTAACAGCAGAATGGCGCTATGCTTTGGAATCGCTTCATAGAAATATTTTACCTATGGGAAAGTGTCGATTGACACTAGTCAAAGCTAATGAGAGAATGTTTTGACCCTCTAACAAGACGGTTGACTTCTGCTTGAAGATAAAGGATGATTTGTTCGTCCCTATAACTAAGGCACAAGTCTATATATGCAACCAATCTAGGTTTAAACTAATGAAAAATACATATTAGCATAGAACGTCAGGCGTTGGGCGTGCTTATTCTTAAATAAACATTATTCTTCTTCGGGTTTCTCCATGAGACATCATAGTAGAACATATACACCAGTTGATGAATAGATTTTAATTTCTGGCTTAATTAACATAACAATTTAACTTACGTATAGTTAAGTTTTAGGTGAAGAGTAAATAAATTAGAAAATGTGCGTGCTTCTTGCCTTTTAGACTAATTAATATGGACAATTTATCATAAGGATTTTAAGAGGTGAGTACCTCCGCCATCTATGTTTGGGCAAATATGCACTTAAAAGAACAACAGAGCCAGATTTTTTTATGAACAAATTAGCGCATATACTTGTATGTATGTATGTACATACCATATGCGTGTAAATATGAAATATAAAATGAAAATTACTAATCTTTGCTGGCGATATTATCGTTCACATGTTTAAAAATAGTATTCACTCAAGTCGCTTGGCTATGAAATGATGTGACGCATCTTCTTTTTGTTCTAAAATTGTTGACGGGTTTTTCATAAATATATACGTACATACAAATGTAAAAATATTCTCAAAGTTTCGTGTGACCAAATTAGAGGCACTTCTTCTACTTATTTCATCATGAAAGATTTGACTTCCTCAATTCATCAAATAAATATAGATTAACTAATGAGTTACAGAGGTTGTGTGGCAATAAATAAAAACTGACTTTTGTATTGCCGAAAGTGATCAATTAAAACAAATTACTACAGTTTTATTATTGGATATTTGTAGGTATGTTTGCGCCATATAAGGGAGTATTGATAACAAATATCCGAAATCAATTAAGAGGCCAACAAGCTATGTTGCTCAAGAGAAAACTACCACTAACAACAATGGTGTGACAGTTCAATGACTCTGGTGACCGGAACGTAGAAAATAAAGTATACGTATTAGGGTAGTCCTCAATTGTAAGAAACAGTCTTTATTGAAGCGTCCCTAAATGTCAATACCTACTGCACTTAAAATTAAAGGAATGACTTGTAAAGTGTGATTAATATTTGTGAAGACAAAGAAATTAATATTTGTTTAAGTCATCTTAGGATAATCTGAAATTTGACAACAGTGCATTGGTAGAAATTTTTATGTACCATTACTAATTGATGGGGGGGGGAGACTGATAAAAAGTGTGTACATTGTTGAGGACCACTCTAATGGACACATCTATAAATACAAAATAACTTTAATTGGGTTTTTCTTAAACATCTACCATTAAATCAATAATAAAAAAGACCCTACAGAGCGATAATAGAAACCCTTCACACCATATACTCTGCATACATAGCCACATTTCTAAATATATTTGTAAGAGCTTGAATACTACAACACCAATGAGGCAATATTGACAGACAACGACACCAAATTCGTCAGCTGACAATCAAATTTAATTTGTTACGCTTAATTGAAATAAACAAACAAATAAGTGACCGAGGGCAATCATTGCACATTGTTGACTAATTGTAAGAATATTTAGAAATATTTCACTTCTTGAATGCAATAGAAAAGAGAGGAGACAGCGAAAACTATTGCGCGGAGGCATTCAAGCAAAATATTAGATTAGATTCAACAAATGATTTTTGAAATACATTATTTTAGTACAAAATAACGTTCTTAACTCTACACTAACTGAACAAAAAACGGTTTAAATTATACCAACGGGAGCAAATTAACTTACTACTTACTTACAGGGTTACACTGCCGAAATAACAACCCTTAGCCGACAGAAATCCGAGTTAATTCCGGTAACGAAGAACCGGCTATTGTGGGAATGTGACAAGCCCTTGAATCCCACTCATCTAACACCCCTCTAATATGATCCGACCTCGCCGAAACAGCACCTTTCCTGGGCCTCCCGTTAGACTATTTCGCTGTCAAATATCTTGCGCTTTGCCAGCGAAACAGGGTCTAGATAACGGCTGCAACAACAACCACAGCGGGAACAAATCAAAATTTTTATCTGCTGTCTCGACAGTCGTGTTTATGGCACACATTCGAAATGAAGCGGAATTTATATCCACTTTGTTACAAATTATCGGATATTTATAGTTAGTATTATTGGAAGAATTCAGAGCTTACAAAAATTTAAAAGAAAATAACAAAAATATTAAGGGAATAATCAAAGGGACAATATCTTTGACACCTCGACTTAGCGCTCTCGTCACTTTCACTGCTGTGTGATTTGATAGGTTCTTGGTGAACTTAAGCCAATTCCCTTGGTAAGATTAGAATATGTTTTTTTTCTCGCTACGACCACTTATCACTTTTTCTTGCTCTAACTTTCAATTTAAAGAAGCCCACGGCTCCATGCAATAAAAATAATCTTCAAATACTTATGCGTCGGTGTCTTTGTGTGTGGCCGCGTACGTGTACATGTACCATAAATGTATGTGATTGAGCCTGCGACATTAGCTTAGAAAAGCAGTGGTGTAGTTGCAATGACAAAAAGGGATTTACATAATTTGATTGCTGTGCACAATTTGGTGTGATCATGAGTAAAAAAAAATACCTTCTGGGAAAGAATAAACCAAAATAAATTGATTTGTATATGATGTATGTTGAGCAACAGATAGTAAAGAATTTCTGAGTGGTTGGAAATTATTGCAGAATAACCAAAGTAAATCTCTAAATCTAAAGAATATTTAGACAAGTTACAAATGACTTACGAACCCAAAACCTACTTATTCTTTTGTACTAGAAAATCAATATTCAGAATTTACAATCTGTAAATACTCTTCTTAAAAATGTGCCTAATTAATTTGTGGTTTTATGCTCAAAGAACACATAAACCCACTGCACGTCACTGTTCCCAACTGTTAAACTTGTATCTATCGTCTCTCATGGACATAAGTGTTCTTCCAATTCCAATCGAAAGGAAGAAGTAACGCCGAGAAGACTGGTGGGAGCGCATAAGGCAAACAGATATGCTTCGTTTAAATTGAATAATGTGTTTTTAAGTGACGCTTAGACGCATTCTTCTCTAAATTGAACAATTGTTCATAATTCTTACTCAACGGGCACATAATATCGCCAGTAGTTTCATTTTTTCTTCCACTTCTTCTATACATATGTATGTATGTATGGTATGCATATACTTGGTATGTGCTTCAGCTTCTCAAACTTCAACGGCTTGAATTCAGGGAATGCATTCATTGAATTCGTTTTCGTTCTGTGGCAATTTCCATCAACTCAAGTCTTAAGTCGCGAACAGTCATAGGCGTACACACATACATACATGTGTACAATTGTGCTGAGCCGGTCGTTTTATCGGTACGGCTCTATGTTTCATTGCAATGCGTTCATGCGTAATTCTCCACTGAAATTGGAAACCTCATTGGGAGGATAGCTTAAATGCACGAAACTGCGCAGCAGATCATCAAGCGCAGATTAGCGCATTCCATGGCTTAATTTGTAGACGCACAAACACACACAAACCCACACGCATCTATTTACGTTGCATATAGTCTAACAATAGGCGTTGCAAGTTATTTTGTAAATGTTTTGCATTGCAGCATATCTTGAGTGATCTCAGTCTACGGATTTTACGAGTTCAACAATCTCGCAATTGAAGATTTTCTTATTGATAAATAAGAAAATAAAAGAACTCGCACTTTCGCATAAATATAAATAAATGCCGTTTACGGTACGTTGTAGGCAGCAAGAACCCCGCATATATATATTTACTTATACATAAGTATATACAACTGTGTAATGGACAATAGCAGCATGCGATGCGCTCAGATCGTTTCAATTGACTCGGATGTGGGTTGGGTGTAAAACGCTTGCAGTGCAAGTGAAGTGTTGCGCGCTTGTTTATACTTTATCTGTTGACAGTTGATTTCCTGCAGAACCATTGCCACAAATTGGACCTGTTTTTCATAATTAACATATATACATACAAACGTATTTATGACAGGCATTTTTGTGCTGGTGTTAAGATGCCGCCGAGCGGATGATCCTCATCAAGAGTTCAACACTCACTTGAGGTTAGTACAGCTAGGCCACGCATCACAAACAATATACTAAAATACCAACATTCTTATGCACTCATAACGTTTATAAAGACTCAAAAAGTCTACAGTGTGTTTGAAAATTTTCGGTAAATAGAAGCCTGCGCTGCACAAAATCGAATAATATACTTATATGAATACTACAAAAATAACGTTGCAAGAACAACGAATTTCTTTTACAAAATTTGAAGAATATTCATAATTTAGTGGTATAGGTCCAAGTACACAGAAGTTGAGAATTTCTTTAAGCTCTAGTTTGGTAAGCGTACTAAGCTAAATTGTCCACAGCTTTAATACTTTCTCCAAATATGCCGAAATCCGTATAAAAAATGTTTTTTATTAAAGATGTAAGTTTGTTATTATCAACTTGAAGTGAAGTTGTTTTGAGTAAAGTATTTTAAATGCAGAGGAGACTTTTTCAAGCTCTAAAACTATAAGCTTTGGTAAAATGTTTTCATTTTTTGAGATTTCTGTAACTACCAGCATGATATCACGTAAATCAATTTATTAATAAATGAAATAATTTAGAAAAATTGCAAAAATATTATATAGAAACATTAGTAGATATAGTCCAGGTCACCTCAAATAATTTCAAGAATCAAGAGCTGACGGTTATAAGCTCGAAAGTATAGCATATACATACATATTTAAATATATTTATATATATACCATATATGTATATATATTTTAAATTTTAATTAAATATACTTTTTAATATGAGTAACATAAGCAAAACAACAACCCTATCGTTATGTGTGAATATATGTATAGTATAATATATTTATATATATGTACGTCTCCCTTTGGGTTTGCTTGCAGTTGTGGGGTGTACGGAGTATCGAAAAATATTTTTCTAATACTTAACGAAAAATTTCGCGGTAAACCCGAAGTGTGTTGTAGCCTCATGAACAAAAACAATAAAATCAACGCGGCTATCTAATGAATGCACAATCTCTTATTGTGTCAGATAATGCCGTTACCACACATATATATTCCTAATATGCATACACATATGTATGTGCATAAATACAACATACAGATCTCCTAGGGGAACTTTTGGTTGGTGTCGAGTTTATGCTCTCAACCGCATTTTGTTTCGTTCACTCCAGGGTGTTGGAACGCTGTAAATATACAAATTTACACTTTACAAACTTTTCGCTACGAATTCGCTTTCATTTCGAGCATACATATGTACAATGTGTTGTTCAACACCGACGATGACGTCAGCTTCACGACCTCAAAGGAATTTTAAGGTATAGATTGGAAAAACATACATACATATATAACTGGCACATGTTTTTCTGTACGCGGTCACATAATTGGTTGAGCTTATCTTTCCATTTGTGGGATCCGTCTTGACGTTATCTAACACACGAAAGATCCACCTAATTTCAAGCCATTAATGTATTTTCATGCGACACGTTTTAATGATAGAAATACGCTTGGAAGTTTGTCTTTGTTGTCCAAGGGCCAACTGATAATTGGAAACAGAAATCGGGTAACCCAAGGCAACCGTCAATTCAATGGAAATGCTTACAAACCTTATAATATTATTAACCTAATGAGAATTTCAGTTCCATCGGCTATACAGATTTATTAAGTTCATCACAAATATTATGGGGCAAAATTACTCATTGTACATACTCCTGTTATTAGAACTTTTTTCCCTCATCCCCATTTTCCTCAATCCCCCATTTACAAAAGTAACTATTCAACTCCCCGAAATGTCACACTAATAAGTTACTTCTTCGCATGAATGAACGAGGAAGTGGTGGAATTCTCTTTATGCAAACATTAAAGCTGAATATCCTTCGTCACATCAAATCTCTTCGATTTTATAGTTTTTCTGGCCTTTATATGTGCAGACAGGGAAGCAGACAAAAAAAAGGAAATTAACCAAAAATTCGTCATAGAATGCAGTAATAAAGACATGTTTATTTACTGCCGAAGGCATAACAAAAGCATATCTAAACATATACATACATGCATACATTCTTAAATACATATGTATATGTAGTTTTGCGAGAATTTGGGAAAACTGTATGATATTTGAATGACTCATTCGCATCTCCATACATTAGTATATATGCGGGCAAACACAGTTTTTCTCCAAATATTAGCACGAAACTTTAATTATTAAATTCTAGTTTAGTTAGTGTAAGTACTGTTACCTTTTTTGTATTTTAAAATAGTTTTTTATTACACATTTTATTATTTAATTTCTATTTAAAGAGTTACTCATGCAAAACACAATAATTGTTCCGTTTTATTCACCAATACTGTACTTGCATTTTGTAAATTAAAATCTCCATTTGTGTCGTCCTGTCTGCTCGTCCAATTATTCGTCTAATGGTTGCAACCTAGTGTCTTGTTTGCGGGAAAAATGAATCTCAGCATAAAACTTTATGTTCTTTAATGATCTCTCCTTTGCCAGAATTTTCTTTATCTCAGGCACATTGGGGATAGTTTGCCCTCCACACGGTATATACCATAAATCCGAGTCTGAGATATTTTGATTTAATTATAAGATTTTGATGATTGGAGTTCTGTGTGATTGCTATAGATATAACGACATATATGCATCTCGCTCGTTGAACAACGTTGTTGGTGGCGTCAATTGGACTCACTGTATCGTAATTTTTATACACATGAGTATAACTACAATTCTACCCAAGTTAATTCAATGAGCAGTGGTGGGAAGCTAGATTTAAAGTTGCCGATGTGGAATGCGCGAAGATGCATTCACAAAAGTGTGTCAACGTGGCACTCCCTTCATGAAACAACATTGCCTTGTAACTGAGTAATCCACCCACCAACACTTAAAACCCAACCCTAGCTCAGGACGCAGCGTAGCGCATGTCAACCATACATCTTTCAACTTACAAAACATGCTACTTTATGGTGAAGTTATGAGGAGTTGGAGCTCTTGTGTGGATTGCGGTCGTGAATTTGAATGAATGGATGGGCGATTGTTTTCGTTGGGTGCTAACCGACACGCAGCACTTGTCGAATTTTCGCGCATGTTCTGCTTGACGGCTGACTGGCTTGGCTAGTTGCACGCATTGCGTACGCCGAGCAGTTTGGTGGCTGGGTGGTAGGGTGCATGGGCATTTTGCTACCCCTTCTTAGATTCGGTCAAATAGTCAGTGCTTTTGAGCGTTGAGTCACCATATTCAGACCGCATTTTACCCATACTGCTCTGCACCACACCCCGGAAAATATTTTGCAATCTGATACGATTGTTTACAATTCTGTTTATGGGGCGATTTTAATTTTTGTAAATACCGCTTCCGTTTATTGGATATGTTTAATGGTTGTATTGGCTTTAGCGCCGTTGTGCATGTAGATACACACACATGCATGCATATGTATATAATACATTGTCTGGATTGTTTTGGCGATTGTATACAAGTTTATAGGTCCACAAATTATTGGTTACTGGCTGTAGGCCATCGGCAGTCAGTCCTAGATATACATACATCCATATGTTTGTACAAACATACTCTTACATGCAACCATCATCAGATAAAGCTTCATTTGTAATTGGCGTTTAATTCAGATTTAATTGTTTTACCGAGTAAATGGACTAATATTCAAAATAACAAGGGAATCCAAAATTTTTAAAAGTGAATAACCAATTATTAAAGTGCAACCAATTCAACAACAAATTAAATTAAATTAAACTCCTCTTAAAAACAAAAATCACAAAAAATTTGGACACAACCCTTTAAGTTTATAGAGAACATTTAAGTTATTCTAATGCTACATATTATCGACCATACTGAGGGTTCGAAAGCTCCAAATTGCGATAAAGAGTGTTAGTTAAGACAACGTTTTTGTATAAGCTGGATCCAGAAGAGAAAAGAGTAACTTCGTCAATTTAAATGTTTCCAAAAAACACGAATAATCGGATCAAAAACGAAATAATTTCATCTAGACAGTTTTTACATAAATTGAGCTAGTGTCGGTCTAGTATGTTTGTTAATGAAATCTGACTAAGAAAATCGTCTTGTAAAAATAATGTTTATTTTCTTAAGGGCATATTTATTTCCTTCCGTTTAGATGTTATTACTGATAAGTGATAACATCGAGATTTGAATGCGGTAAACTGCGTACATACATACACACATATGTGAATGATACATGCGAATAAATATAATATGTAAGTTTTAAATGATGAAAGGTAGGATTTATATAATTACTATTGCAATATATTAAGTTTATAGTATATTATGATAGTATGACATATATATAGTATACATATCGCATGTATGAATATATATGAAAGTATATTATATTATCAAACATAAGAAATATATAAAAAGTAGGTCTTATTTGCACATTGAACATAAATATTACTTTGAAAATTACATAATTTAATTAGAATGTTATCATTATCTTGTGTTTATAAAAATTCGAAAATTACATACAATACAAATATTCATATCAATATATATGATTGCATATAATAAACATATAAAGATATAAGCAGAGAGTGTTATTGAATATTATCACTGTTAAAATTTCTCCTTCGGAGCTAGCTGTGGTGAAACACGCTCAGCGATTTTATTTTGTTTTTTTGACAATTTACACGCTTGTCCGTAGTTGGACCTTCTCTATGATATACGTTAACTGCAATAAACACAAAACGGAAAAGCGAAAGCAAAACAGAAGCAGAGAAGGTCTAAAAAAATTCAACGTTCTCTGACAGAAGCACCATTTTGTATGCAAACAAGAAATAGCCGCTCAAGAGAGAAGAAGGTTCTCACGAGTGACATTCCATTCCAATATTTTAATGAGTGGTTTTAGTCAGAGATGCATTTTTTACACCTAAAAAGAAAGGGAACATATAAAGTGAGTGGATTGGCATCCATTTACAACAATTTTAACAACACATCCTTGCCGTATATTCGTTTTTGTTGCAAAACATTTCTCAAAGGCATTCTCTTCACTTAAATTTCTCTCTCACGCGGGAACTTCGTTTCCACTCACATTTGCGACGCCAGCATGTAGTGATGGTCAGCGCCGCAGTTGCCGCTTGTTCACGGCGCAGTTTTGAGTGAATTGTACTCGTGAGTGGTCATAAAAATAATTTCAAGCGAAAATTTTCGAAAAATTATAAAAATAAATAATTCTTTATCAATATCAGGCAGTAAAGATACGAATTGGGCAAAAGTATTTGCCTACGAACGGTATACAATAAAAACGCAGCGAAGATTAGCATTAATTTTGTGTCATTTATGAGGAAGTGCGAATAGCAAAACCGACTTCGATTGAAATCCGTTTGCGTTGAGAAACGAATCGCAAGTTTGCTAGTGTGTTGCTAAATTTTTTTTTTATTAAAATTAACACCTAACTACAAGCACAGCAGCAGCTGGTAGTGCACTAACCTTAACTATAATTAAGGTAAAGAATAATATAGTGAGTTCAGAAGTGTAGTGTTTTTGTGAATCAAGTGGAAAACAATGCAAAGTTTACAGCGAAACGAAGATAATTTCAAAGATGAAAACAAATAGGAGTGAATCGTATATAATAATGTTATTTACAAATGCAAAGTTAATGTAAAGTCTAAGCTGATAAATTTAACAAAGTGCGAATGAAGCCAAGTGAAAGTGGAAAATTGTGATTTAGCATTGTTGCAAGTAGTGGTGAAGTTGAAAAGAAGCAACAATTGAAAAGGCTAAACTAAAATATTTGTAACACAGAAAATACGACGTTGTAAAATTGCGGAAACATTTTCGTTCGTCGTCAAATTTTTTAAGTGATGCAGTTTGTATAACCAAAAACCAAAAAAAAAACTAAGATTTTGGCGCAAAAAGAGGACGTTCAAGGTTTTTCATAATAGCAGCAGCAAACAAGGTGAGTTTGAATACAACTGTGAAGCAAAGCAAAGAATATAGTAGCAACGCCTACTCGTTGAAATTTCAGGTAGCTACACCTAAAAAAATCTCAGCGTGCAAGATGACAAGCTGTGTACAAAGTAAATAGATAAAATGATGAAAGAGCCTGAGGAGTCTGCTTTGTATAGCTTACGCGGTTAGCAAAACGTGCTACTTTTGTGCAGCTGCGTTTCGGTCATAGCCAGAGCCAGTTTGTGCTGAGCTAAAAAAGGGCGTTTTTTGCAATACATCCCCATTTTGTTTGTTATTCTACTCTGTTTGTGATTTTTTCTTTTGCAATTTCCACGGTAATTCTCGTTTGACTACAATCCTGTAGTTTTTGCCACTCTTCTTCAATAAACTTCCAATTGAGAATAATCTCATTTCCAGTTGCTCAAATTGTAATTGTTGAGATGCGATTTTGTTTCAGCTCAATATTTTATTCATCAGCATGGTTATAATGTGAAAAAACAGAGAACAAAAAATTTTAATTTTCAAATTGTTAGGAAATCATGTTTATATATATTTATTTAATACATTGTTGCTTTCTAAAAGTGTTGCAAAAGTTTTGCACATTAACATCATTTTACATACCTATGTATGTGTATAAGTACTTAATATTTAAATAAATAACGCGCTTCGTTTGCCAGCATTCGATTTTCACATTTTTAATCGCACTAGGCAATGATTTTTCTCCAACACTTTCTCCTCAGCTTGTGATGCCACCAGCTTTGCCGTTTTGGTCCGGTTACACCAAAATTGATATTCTCATTTGCAATTGGTAGCTTGATTGGTAGACAAAAAGTTTTGGTATGCAATATTTTGTACCAGATGTATTCACAATGAAAGTTAGTCTTAAGATTTGCTAACTTAAAGAAAAATTTATGTTATTGCTTGTTATTCATACTAACTGATAAATAGTCATGAGTGGAAACCATGTGCACAATGTGGGAGGATCTAGCGATAATTGAAACTGTAAATTCAAGATGGATAGAAAAATTTGATATTTGATCGCATTCATGCATTAAATGAAATAAAAAGATGCTTCATGGTTAAGTAAATATTTTAGTTTTACTTTAAATATGTATTTTTTAATATATACTCCTCAACTGTTTTACGTTTGAGTATAACAACGAAATACCTAGAACTTCCGTAGTAAGCAAAAACTATTAAACGTTTGCAACATGTCAATTAACAAATTTAATATTTTTGTAGTGAATATTCGATTTACTTGTAGAAAAGGAAGGGTGTGCATTAGGTGTAGCTAAATTTGAATGATCTCTAAGGTTTATTTGTATCTAAATATTTTTCCAAACGTGAAATAAAAGCTAATGTTCTGATATTGAAAAAAATTGGTATTTTTGCATTAGATTTGGTATGTGTTTTGATACCCAAAGAATTTCTTATGTGGCAACACTGGCTGCCACACAGAAAATGCCAGCGTTGCGCCAAAGCAAATATAAACAACTGCCACAATTCATTCGAATTAAATGCACAAAAACAATAACAAAACGAATGAAGCGAATATGTGGCAAAAAGAAAGCTACACAAAATAATTAAATGAAACAAAGCGTAAATTGCTTAAATACGCCAATGAAAAACAAACATTTGTTGCAAAAGTTTCGTCGAAATCAATATATTTTTTGTATGGATGACCAACACATAAATACATACTATACACAAGAAAAAATAATAAAAGCTTTTTCTTTTAATTTGTCGATTTTTGTGTTGATCTAACCACCAAGACACAAATAACTTCGTAAAGTACAATCGGTCAGTCTTTCAGTCAATCGGTGAATGAACGAATCGTACATTTCCACAAGTGTTTAAGTATAGTAAGTGTAGTTTTTGTTGTTCTTTTATTAGCTGCGCTTTTGTGACTGCTTATCAGCTTGAACTGATGCCCTTCCACTCATCAACACTTGTGCGAATTTCTTGTTTTATTCAAACTATATTTTATATAAACTCGGCTGAGTCATCTGTATTAAAACACTTATTTTATAATTTTTATGTAGTATATATGTATTGTAAATCAGTATTTATAGATCTTTCATATAAATATATTTATATATGTTTTAAAATAAAAATGTAAAGCAGTCAACGCTTTAAACTTCTTTTGTGAATTTTTCTTTTGATATACACAGAATTTAGAAATAATAATTTAAATAAGTAATATATGAAAAGCAAGCAAGAACATCAAATTATATACATATATACACATAGTATATAATTATTTACATATGTACAAACCAGGGCGAATAATATTTTTATACTTTTATTTAAGAATTTGAGTATTTTGATTGGTTTGATACACAGACTATCTTTAAAAATCATTAAATTGTGGCTAAAACAGTGATATTTACATACCTATACCGATATACAATGTATATGCATATGTGTGCAAGTATGTTTATAAATACATACATATGTGCACATAAATTGGTTTCGATTGGACGTAATTTGTTTTTATTTATTTCCACATATAAACATACTTTTATTGGAACACACTGTGAAGTGTCGCATTGGCTTGCCACAAAGCGTAAGACGCACTGAGGCAATAAATTATTCAGTGAATGTTGATTGCAGGAAACTACTGAGACCGTTGGCCAACACCAAAACTTATATTAATTACTAATAAAATCTGAAAATAAGCAAAGCTGGCAAATTAAAAATTGCTATTATTGGGGTATTAACTTTTATGTTATGCAACAAATTGATAGCATTTAAAACTCTATCAAAAAAGCAAAACAAAACAAAGCTGAAATCATTGTCAAAATAGTAATAGTAATAATGTAAGAATTTGTAAGGCTAGCATTGACAAATACTGGAAATCAAAATTATTAATGAATGATATAAATTTGTATGTGTTTATGTACCTGTGTGTGTTTAGTATGACATATTTTTATGTTGTCGAATGCTTTTATGCATTATTTTGGTTTTCAGTTCATTCGCTTTGCCGCTACCACTGCCCCCTGTTGGAAGAAAAGCTCATCAGTTCCACTTCATCGACGCCAAGTGATCGCTGCAACGGCAAAGCAGCCGCAGACATGCTTACATATGTCCAAACATATATGTAAATATATAGCAGATATATAGCACCAGATTTGGTTGTATGTACAAGCAAAAGCTATTACTGAATGGAAAAATATCTGTGCTCTACAGTGAAAAGTCGTTGAACTCTTTCAAGAACAAGCGAGTAGAGCGTACCGCTAGCTGGCTAAGTAGCGACTGCAGCAACAACTCGGCAGCAAGAGACTGCTGTTTGCAGACATGACCGAAGCAATGGCGAAAGAAAACCCGTTCCGCTTCATTCCGTTTCACGTCAGCAAAAGCAATCAAAACAATAGTCGGTGTTACAACAGAAACAACAACATTAGCAACATTAAGTAAATGAATAAAAATATACGAAATTGCTATTGTTGTTGTCGTGGCTACCTTAGCTGATGTTGGCGGCGCAGCAACTTTTCATTTTCATTGCTCTATGAATGATCAAATTAATGGTCGGTCGCTTGGGGCTGACGTTGGCGGGCGGGTGACGCAAACGGTGGATTTCGTTTGTGCGGTCCGCTGTGGGGCCCAATCGCATAGGAAGTTGTTCGTTTGTGGGTATGTGAGTGCTTGTTGTTATTTTTGTTGATACGTAACGCTTGTAAACTACAATTAAGGTGCACGTGTTATGCGGACTTTCCGGTAATTTTTGGCAGTCTCGGAATTCACATTTACCGTTTCTCTTTATAACACCCAATACGAGGAAGTTATAAGCAGGTAATGAGCTCTGTTGAAAGCAAGAAACATCAACGCAAGCGTTTGAAATGTTTGAAAATTCCAAATGCTTCTTCCGACTCCATTTATAACAATTATTATTATAGAAATAGTTTGGCAACCATAACTTTGGCAGGCTTAAGCGGTCTCTGGTTTGGCTATTTTAATTGACGGTGTTCGTTTTGAGTTTTTTCTATTTTTCCGATTTTCTATTTAATACTAACTAATTTCTCTTTCAATGTACAGACAAATGTCTGCTTTTTGCAAATAAAATTACTTATATGTTTTGATTTGAATATTATATTGTGTACAAGTACATATATGTTGCCATATTTCCATTTCTGTTCACAGTTTGCTGTGCTTCATTGTCAAACGCTACGCCTTCTGCAAGCCCCCCTTTGCACATATCGACTTTATTTTCAGCTCTCAGCTTTTCGTCACTCGTTTCTTCTCTCCCCCACCAATTTAACAGCTTCAATAAGCGTATTTAAAGTCAACACGTTTTGCGCATCTGTCTCACTTATGTATGTTTGTATAATCCTCTTCAGGTGTTGTCCTCACCCAGCCAGCGTTACTTTCACTTTTTCTTCTCCATTTTCGTTTTGTTTTGTTCGCCCAATGCGAATTTCCGGTGCTTTGCTGAGGTGCGTACGTTTCAACGGATTTCAACCAAACAAGTTATGATGGAAACCCCCAAACACTTGGTTAAAAAATTTGCGAAAAAGGTGATATTTGAAAGATGTTTTATTTTTGTTTTTATTTAAGCCAGCGGTGTACAAACCGATTTGCAAATTTTTAATGATTTTCAGTTAATGTGTTTGTACCTTTGTTTGTATGCTTTTCACTCTCTCTCGTATTTCCTGCTTCAAAACTATAGATTCCGGCAAGTGTCGATTTTATAAACATGAACCCATTAGTTATTAGGATTTAAGTTTTTATTGATATGAACAGGGCGTAAATGATATACTCGAAATAAAAGCCTTTGGGCAGAAAAAATCCGGTTCAATTCCGGTAACGTAGAACCGGCTGTAGAAGGAAATGAAACCCTATGATTATTGTGAACTGGAAGTTATATCTGACGTACGTTTTTAGAGAGTGTATCAGAAGATGTCTTTAGTAATGAATATATTTATAATGGAAATTTATGTTTATATCTGTAAATCCAAATGTTGATGCAATAATGAAGTAAATACAAAATGTCTGATTGATTCCTTCCAT